GGGCGTATGTCTGCCATACATTATTTATATATTCTAATTTTTTCCCTCTAATCTCGGACGGCAGAGTATTACTGACATTTTCACGTTTCTTCTTAAATAGTGCTGACTCATGCTCTATCGGCGTCTTAGCCTTAAAAGGCAATGAGTCAAAGGCAGAGCCCCAGTGCCTTTCTCTCTCGCCCCCCCTCCTCTCCTCATCCACTGTGCTGAGTGATGCTGCTTTACCACCCTAGTGCTCCATATAGCCTCCCTCTCACTGCAGTGCTTCGGCTTTGTACCTCACGAATCATGACAAACTCACATAAACGCCCTGCTAAAAGCCTAAAAGCCTGCTGTCTGCTTATTTTCTATATAGACGTGACGGCAGAAGCAGGTTGAGGACTGAGTCTGCCTGTGTTTTTCTTTCTTTTTCTTTTTTTCTCCCCTCCTGTCTGGCTGTTATCTGTCTGATGCCGTGTTGGCACATCTGATTGGGTATGCAGACTCTGTACTGAGCATGCCAGCCTGTGACAGGGACTGCATTGCAGCGTTGCTCTCTCCTGGCACACTCCATTTGTCTGCCCTTAATGTAAATAATCCTGCCGAGCATGGCAGAGAGAGAGAGAAAGAGAAGGAGAGGGAGAGAAGGAGAGAAGGGGGGGGAAAAGAGAGAGGGAGAGAGAGAGCTCCTGATGGATTATGTGACTGCGCCTGTTTCGGTCTCGCCGAGGAGGTTGACATGAGGTGAATTCGCTCATTTCTCCCCCTCTTTCTTTTTTTCTCTTTCCCCCCTCATCTTTTCTTTTTTGATGCTCTAATAAAAGTGAGCCATTGCTGTGCCTCTGCCTGTCTTTTGTCTCTATCGCACATGCATGCGTTTAACTCTGCAGGGCAATTATCCGCATCAGGCTCTCTCTCTCTCACACACACACACACACACACTATGTTCTTTCTTGCTCTCTCTCTCTCTCCCTCGCTCTCTCCCCCCTCTCTCTCTCTCCATGTGTCCTTAAATGACTTTCTCTCAGTCTCCCTCCCTCCCCCCCCTCTCCCCCGTCTCTGTGTCTGTGCCTATAGCCTCTCTCTCCCTCTCTGTGACATACAGTAGATGGTGCATCGATTGCACACAGACGCTTGCCTTCCCCTCTCTCGCTAGGAAGTCCTGTGCAGGGAGGAGAGGACGGATTGAGACACATCTCTCTCTCTCTCCCACACTCACTCTCTCACTCTCTCTTTCTCGCTCTCCTTCGTTTTGCCAAGCTAATGTGAGGAAGCTGTCTGCCTTCTCTCTCCCGTCTCGGAGGATTCTGCTGTAGAGGTCAGGTAGTGGGGTGGTGGGACAGGGGAGGGAGGGCAGGGTTGGTGGGTCAGTTTGCAGTTTCTTCTTCTTCTGCTTCTTCTGCCAAGCTTAGCAAGTCAGAGTTACCAAACATGTAGACTGTGCTAATGCTAGGGGGGGGAGTGTTTGGTAGGGCAGCTGCTGCTGTTCAGCATTTCTCCTCCAGGTTTCTTTCCTTTCTTTTCCCTGTTGTCCTCTGTGCTTCCGAGAGCTAACGTGCTTACTTTTGGGGAATGGGGTCAATTCCTGTCATCTCCTTCTGGGAGCCACAACTTTTTCCTCCTCACGTTTTCCTACTTTGCATTGATGTTCTTTCTGTGTGGACCCTCCTTTTGCAGATGCCCACTGGGAAAGTCCTCTCTCTACGTCCTGTGGAGATCTGAAGCCAACGTGATGTCTCAGCTCCTGCACATGGAGATCCCCAACTTTGGCAGCGCGGTGCTGGACAGCCTGAACGAACAACGGCTGCTGGGCCAGCACTGCGATGTGGCCATCATGGTCAACGGTCAGGCCTTCAAGGCCCACCGGGCCGTGCTGGCTGCCAGCAGCCTCTACTTCCGTGACCTCTTCAGTGACAGCAGTCAGGCCTTGTTCGAGCTGCCCTCTTCTGTGGCACCGTCCTGCTTCCAACAGATCCTGTCCTTCTGCTACACAGGCAGGATGACGGTGACAGCCAGCGACCAGCTGATGGTCATGTACACGGCGGGTTACCTTCAGATCCAAAACATCGTGGAGCGTGGCATGGACCTCATGTTCAAGGCCAATGCTCCATTCTGCGACTCGCAGACGTCTGCGGTGGACGATCCCCCCAGCCCGAACAACAACAACAACAACTCCGCTCTGTTGCTAGGCGACCAGCCCACGGCCGTCTGCAAAATCAAGGAAGAGAAGCTGGAGACCCCGGTGTGCGCTCAGAGTGGGGAGCTCAAGCAACCTGAGGATGACACCAAGGGACTCAGGAGCAGGTCTTCCAGGGGCAGCACGCTTTTCTACACCAGCGGGGTGGGGAACGGGACCCTGAGCGTGGTCCACCCATACGAGCACTCGTCCAGAGACCACTCCAGCCCTGGGGCGTCCAGCCTGCCAACCACTGACAGCCCCACGTCCCATCAGAACGAGGAGGAGGACTTTGAAGATGACTCATATGACAACCTCACCAGTGGGAAGATCTACAGCGTCTCGGCTGGTCTCTATGGCAGTAAATGTCATTGTGGATTGTGTCCTAAAATAGACTTGTCTGAACATTTGGGATTAAACACCCCTCTGACTTTTTTCTGTGTATGTGTCTCTCCTCTCCTCCTAGTGCACGAGAAGATGGAGGTGTCCTCCCTGCCTCCGTCCCTGGAGAGCCGTTTCTGTGTGCTGCTCGGAGGGGACAGGGAAGCTTTGCCTGCCGGACTTATCAGCCAGATTGGCTACCGCTGCCACCCAGCACTATACACAGAGGGAGATCCAGGAGAGAGACTGGAGCTGATTGCAGGTAAGGCCTTTTACTTCCACAGTGCTACCCTGAGAAATCTGAGAAAGGGCTGATTAAGTGACTGAGTAGGCTAACATACTTCATGATGATACGTTTAAAGAGCTGGTGCCTCACTGTTTCTCTGTTGTTGATGTTGTGAAAGGATCTGGTGTGTTTATGACACGTGGGCAGCTGATGAATTGCCACTTGTGCGCCGGGGTCAAGCACAAAGTCCTGCTCCGGCGCCTCCTTGCTGCATTTTTTGACAGGTCTGTAGATGTGACAGTCCTTATATGTAAACCATGTATGCCTGTTATTTGATTACATAAACACCTTTGAAAATACTGAGCCAGTTATTTTTAAATGTGCAGACAGTATCTGCAAATTAGACTTTCAAAGAAACAGTGTGGTGTATGCGATGAATGCTGCTGTTGTGGAAATATTTAGTGCTTGTGCCCCCCCGTGGCTGACTGTAGTATCACGACTGCAGGAACACACTGGCAGACAGCTGTGGAACAGGCATCCGCTCTTCCAACTGCGATCCGAATCGCAAACCACTGGATAGCCGCATACTGAACACAGTCAAACGTGAGTCAGCTTCAGCCTTCTGTGAATCTAGTAACTGTGCATGGTAATTCCACTTTTTTTTCGCAGTCAAAATGGTATATTCATGTACTGCAGGTTAACTGCTGCAAGTTCTGCTGTAGTCTACCCTGCGTGCTTCACATTTTAATTCAGCTGCCCTTTTAAAAGACTATTCCTTTTTTGTCTTGTTTCTGTCCACCTCTCAAGTCTACTGTCAGAACTTTGCCCCCAACTTCAAGGAGAGTGAAATGAACGTGATCGCCGCAGATATGTGCACCAACGCCCGAAGGGTCCGTAAGCGCTGGCTGCCCAAGATCAAGTCCATGCTCCCTGAGGCTATTGAGGCGTATCGGGGCTCTGTGGTGCTGGGCCAGGTGGACGGAGTGGCCCAGCCAAGCCCGTCCTTCCCCTTTGAGTCTGACTTCAAACACCTGGCCCAGTCAAACCTGACTCTGGAGCAGCACCTCTACGGAGACTGCAGAGAGACACTGAGAAACGGTCACTTCCCTGGAGCCGCCATAGAGGACAGAGCCAGCGCGGAGGCGGGCAAAGCTGCTGACCCGCTGCGCGCACGGCCTGGGGACAGCCCAGAGGACATGGCGGCAAGGCATGTGGAGAGCTCAGAGAGAGCGGGAACTGTCCTCACCCTCAACCCGGCCAGCAAGAGAGCGGAAGGGGACGGAGCATGCAGCAGCCCCAAAAGCCAGCCAGAAGAACACAGCGGAGAGAGACCCCTGGTAGAAGACCAGTGAGTCAGGCCACTTTAAAGCGGTCTACTCTTCAACCAAACAGGACCACTACCACTAATTCCATGGATTACGCCACCTAAATATCAATACCATGTTGAACGCTGCACGATCTAGGGGAGGGGGGTGGAGGGAGGGGATATGGACATACAAGAGTTTCCCTGGATATATCAAAAGACCTTCAATGCCAAATACACCAAGTCTGCATAGAGCTGTAAGAGATAAAGCGGTCATTTATCATAAGTAATATTCTCTTTCTCTTACATACAGACACAAACAAACACATATACTACTACATACACATGCTAACATCCTACAGGCTGGGTTGTTATGGATGTGATGCTCAGCATTTTACTGACAAATCTTCCACAGAGTTACACAGACCATAGAAATGGTTCATGGAACACTGCATGGCAAGGTTAAAAAAACAAGCAAAAGACAATGCACCTGTTCATTAACATATACATGCTTCAGATATCAAAGCTATACTGCTGGATTTGGACTATAACAGGAGGAGAGCGGAGAGCTGCTTTAGTGAAAAAGAGCTGACTATGGGACTGCTGACGTGAACACAGAGTAGGAAGCAGAACAGAGAACAACAGTCCTCTGGAGAGAGAAATGCTGGACTCTCACTTTCTCCTCCCATGCTCTTTTTTCTTTTTTTTTTTTCTTCTCTATTTGCTCGGGCTCAAGCTGCTGTATAGTACATGCTTGCCTGATTTTTGCATATCAGCTGGTCTGGAAAATTGAAATACTGATGGTTTTAGAAGTGAAATAAAGGAAAGCATTATTTTGAGGGACATCTTGGTCTTGGTCCTTATATGTTTGAATATCACAATCTTAACAAAAAATAATATGTGACAGGCCGGCATGGTTAGAATGTATTAACTGTCGGGAGGTTCAGCTCTCATCAATGTCTCTTACGTGATGTAAAGTTATCTACATGCATGCACATCTTTCCACTTCATGGACATGGTGCTGGCTCCATCTTTGGGCTCTGTATGGGTAAGTTTGTCTCCTCAACTGCTGGTCTGTAAAAAGAGAAAAATCTTCCTTGATAAAGAATCTCTTACCAGCTAGTTGTTACATATTGTCGCTGTCCAAAAAAAAGTGTCTTAGTTTCTTGTGATTTTCAGTTCTCTGCAGAATTCGAACTCAGCAGCTGCCCATTGTATTCTGTGGAAATTTTATGATCAATGGACCAGTATAAATGCTACAAAACTGCTTGAAATAAAATATTTAACATTTTTGCCTTCTCCTTTAAAGTTACCATTGTGGAGACACTTTTCTTTGTACAGCTTTTCTTTGTACAGTGTCAATATATTCTATCACTTTACAGTCGCATAAACAATCTAGTATGGGAGTAGCTTTTATATGTCAAGCAAATACATATTAATCCAGATGATCACCTTAAATATCTGAATAGTAAACAAGTTGGTTTATGATGCGAGGTACTGCTATTGTGTTGACTGTTATCTAGCTCATCCTGGTCCATCAGCTTCTCTTGGAGGAACTGCTCTGGCACGTTTACTGTCCTGCTAGGGAACTCAAAATCACGAACAGCTCGACACTGTTCACAGTTTTTCAGGTGCTCATTCTCCAGCCGGAAGAGGTTCCACATAGAACGCCTGCAAAAGAAGTAAAGCTGAAATAAAATGGTCCTACTCTGTAAATATATCTTACGTTATCCTGAGAAACTGCATTACAGGTAAGGTAACAGGTACACGATATAAGAGTCAGAAATCTTCCACTTACAGCAATGGCAGATTTGCTCTGAGCATCTTTATTAAGAATCAATACGTTCTTAGTGGCTTGGCAGTCTTTTCACTTCAGAAAGGCATATCTAACCTGAGGACCTCCAGTGGAGCCAGTACAGCACTAGCAGTAGAAGCAGCAGCTGAATCCTTCATCTGAGCTAGGAGGATATTTATAGCCCAGGAGATCCGCAGTAGCACATCTGCTAACATGGCTGCATAGTAGTACACCTGGAAGAGACTTACATATTCAAATCTAAAGTAATCTGCAGAGGTTGCAGAAATATAACAAGACAATAAAAAACAAAAGGATGGGGTCAAAGTGAGATCAAGTTGAATGTTATGTTATAAACATCTATTAGTAGATGTGTGCATTTATATTTTATTTTAGCCCAGTTAGACTCATACCCTTCTATAACCAGATAAATATGTAGTGGTGTATTCAAGGCCAGTTTCCCAGACACAGATAAAGCCTAAACCTAGACTGAAAAGAATTTCAGCTTTGGCATTGAAATTAAGACCAAGATGATGTGCAAAGGAAAAATAAATTCATATGATTTTTCAAACTATGTGTCGTATTTGTAATATAAACTGTGAAGAAGTTTTGGGCACCTGAGAAAATTAGATTTTAAAAGCTATTTATCTGTTTATCTGGTCTGTAAGCATTCAAGAAGCACCAATTTCACAGTGAGTAAAAATACGAATACAATAAATTGTGATCTTACGTTTGTGTGTTTGTTTAACCATTTAACTTCTTCTTGTGAAAGCTCAGTATTAACTGTAGTTATCAATACCTAGTTTGGCTAATTAGATTATGTTAAATCAAATGGTGATGTAACTGAACAAATCCATGTGATGGCTGGAAGCAATCTGGAACAAAACTTTGTTAACCAAACTGGCTCACAAGATATCAGCATCAAAAAAATCTTGTTACTTGTATTGTATTTACGTATATATCTGGATATATGCATGTATTTTCATATATTGGCTTATATGTGCATATACTGGCATATAATTAAACATCGAATTACAGAAACTTCTTAGGTCTGAAATCTTATCTGTTTGGTTATCATGCCAACTTCAGTTAGGACTGAATTTAGGACAGAAGCTATTACAGAACAGTTCTTAAGTTTCTTATCCTAACTCCAGATAAGAAAACATTATTACAGAAACATCCTAACTAGACGAACTTTCCTAAATACTGTCCTAAATTTAAGACAACCCCAGAGCTGTCTTTTTTTGCAGTGATAAACAGCATAGTTCACTATAACTATATAATAATGACATCAGCTAGCTACATTTATGAAAACAATGCTTTCATTTATGAGGGTTTTTTTTCTAACAGCATTTTAAAAACCCCTCTTATTATCACTCTCATTACCTTCGTGTGTTAATGTTGATGAAAACTCATCAGATAAAATATTACCGTGATGGTGGTGAATAATGACGAGACCGAGCTGAACGAGGGTCTGTTTAGGCGGAATAACGTTAGCGCGGTCGGCTAAAGTGTTTGGGAAAGTGAAACTGGGGAGCAGCGACGCTCTAAAAAAACAGCACAAAGTGCTTTCAAAATATTTTTGCCTAAGAGTTTGTAGCGCTTTACCTTTGTTTTGACATCATTTACATCATTATTTAACTAACGTTAGCTGTCTGGCTAACTAACTTAACTATTTTGAATACGTGTTCGAGTTTCAGCTATGGTCGGTTGCTAGGTAACAGACATGCCAGTTGATTGTCGACGTCGATCGAGTGGGTTGAGATTTCGTAACTGGATATGAGATGCTGTAAGATAAGGTTCCTAAATTAAGATAAGACTTACTTTTGTACTACGAATATGTGAAAAATCTTATCTGGCCCTGTCAGATCTTAAGTGAAGACAAAAAGATAGGAAGTTTTTTATAATACGCTCCTTGGAACATATATTTTATCACACCATAAATATTACACTTATTTTTAATGTGGGTAATTGTCTGTAGACATATTTTGAGCGTAATCCATGTCCAGGAAACTGGCCCATACCTTATCTGGGATTAAAGTAATCTCATATTTTGCTTATTTTAATTCTGTTCTGTTGCTTCAGCACCTGGACTGCTTTTCTGTTCTCACGCCCCACCTTTGAGCTTTAGCATTTCATTTTAGAATAAAAAGGTCCCAGAAAGAGAAAAGTAGCAAGCTCTGCTTAATACCTTCCTTTGCTTAGTGATACAGTTTTACTCTTAAATTGTTGTTTGCTAGGCTTTACTTCTATTTGAGTCAAGATTTCAACAAAGTAACAACACTTTTATCTGTGTATAGGTTTAGGCTACTCTAACCACCTACAATGTCTACAATGCCATTTACATTCATCCTTCTACATCCTCACATATTCCATTTTATTTTAGAGCACACTCATATGGTTCAATACATCTCAATTAACTGTATGTATACAGAGACATATAAAACACTATCATAGATCATGGGCATAATTTACCTCTCTTGAGTACAGAAGCTCCTCTTTTAGGAGGCCATTCCCTTGTAGCAGTCCCCAGTCCATCCTTAGGTCCCAGCTGACAGTCACTAACACACTCAAACAGGTAGCCACGGCCCACAGATACAGATATGCATTCACCTCCACAGCCAGAGCAGCCCTCTCTAAACACACACAAACCATATTCATCAACCTGCACATTTCAGTTTAACTTTTTTCTAATATAGGTTACCATGATAACAATCACGGCAATCAGTAAAACCTGAATCAGGACCCACACTTCAAGTTCTCACTAACTTCATACTTACATATAACTTTAATAATTACCAAATACTTCATAGTAGTTACTGAATAATAATTGTTAAAATCAATTATTGAATAATAAAACTGGTTTAAGTTAAAGTAACTTAAGGGTTAACTTAAGGTATTGTTGGTACCTAATATATAGGGGAGTGCAGGGGCACAACCTATCACAGATTAAAATGTAGCCCAAACTGTTTTTGCAGTCAACCCCTTAAATGGCCAGGGCCCACCAGCAGGCCCAAAGTTTCATTACACACTTCAATAACCTAAGAATAGCTCAGGCAGTTTGCACTGAAATCTCTGTAGTCACTGAATAATAAGCCTTAGTATGTAATTAGCTTGAGATTTTAAAGGGTTAAACAAGTTCAAGTGAAACATGTTTTGGGTATCTCATATCTCCACAGCATCATCATCTGTTGATTTTCACAGCAGTTGGTATATTTACTGAGATTTGCTATGAAGATTTACACCATGAAGGTCACTTGAGTTTACACCTGTATTATTTTGTCTCATTTTTCTGAGGCCTGAAATGGAGTAACACAGGGGTTTCCAAACTTCTCACACAAAGACCCATATGTAGAGGTTGTATTTGACCTGAGACCCACAAAATATTTTGTGAAAGTGAAATACAACAAAAACTCATCTTACTAAGTAAAGTCCACCTTTACTCAGTGTACTCTTGTTTATACTATATATGTATGATATTGGCACACATGCAAAACTCAAAAAAATCTTAAAGACTTAAATATAAAAAAGAACATATCTTCGCATTAAAATTACTTTGGTTAACCGTGGTTAGCTTACTGTTAGCCTACTGTGTGCTGTGTCATTCAACATAAAATAGCAACAGCACAAATTAGGCTAAAGCAAACTTGTTTTATTCTAGATGTGACACGATATGGCAGTATTTATAGTGGTAAATACATATATACATATATAGTGGTATATATATATATATATATATATATATATATATATATATATATATATATATATGTGTGTGTGTGTGTGTGTGTGTGTGTGTGTATATATGTATATATCCTCTACAGTAGCATCACTTTTAGATTTTCACAGCTTTGTTTTAGCTGCTCACATTCTGTAGTGTTAAGCTGAGAATCACTCTACCTCTTGCTATGTTGTAGAGGCCAGCAAAGGTGACCATGAGAAAAACAGTGGAGTATTTCCCAGCGTTTAGAAGGTGCATTGTGTGACCACTGTCCCAGAAACACCTTAGACACTGAGTGAACCTCAACCATGGAGGGAAGCACTGAATCAGACACGGGACTACTTTACTCTGCTTCTCCCAGTCCAGGCTCTCTGGAGCACACAAAGAGACAAGACATAGATAAAACACACTAGATTGAAACTCTTAGTCTGGTACTGGACTTAGAACCTCAGTAGCATTTGCTGAAACAATGTTACTGAGGTTCTACTACTACCCCCAGATCCAGTTCTGAAATTATGAACAGAAAGTCTGCACCCTGCTCCACTGATGAACAGCACAAAAAAAGTTATTTTGCTGAAGTATCACAAACTGGTTTTCCAGATCTTGACTGAGTTTTTATATTCTGCATAACGTGGAGTCTTTGAGACCTTTGGGTGGTTTCATCTACCAAAAACAGTCCTAATTTGTTTTTTCATGACCATTTTCTAACGTTTCTTTTTTTTTTAGAATTAAACAGGCTATTTCTGTTACTGTGCCTTTAAGGTTGATATATGTAAATGACCTATGTTCTGATTGGCTGCACTGTATTGTGCTACATTCACAAAGCAGTTGAGGCTGAATTATGGTACAAGTTCAGCCTAAATGGATACATTGGAAGGTTGCAATGATACATTTGCTTCCTGACCATCATTAACAGCACAACGTTTGATCGTCTTCTGCTCTAGTAACCCTGCTACAGACTGGCTGCAGTAACAACACCCCTTGTAACTTCAACATGAATAGACAGGCTAAACTGCTGTAGGCCAAACATATGTATGTTCATATTCAAAATGGGCTGTTCTTGCAGCTTAGTTTCTGGTTATGAACTATATGAACTGGGTAATATGTTTTTCACTAACAGTATTTACATAGTACATCAAACTCTTTTATTTGAAATGCAGATATTTGGGTTGGAGTGGTCTGGAGTTTCCTGCACCTGAATACAGAAAGCTACCAGCCTGCAGATCTTTCCAGCTTATTTGAATAGTGTAGAAACACAGCATCTCCCACAGGCTCAGGATGAGGGGGCTCAGACTGTTGAGCTGGTCAGCTAACCAGCATTCTGCAAACCCAACAGGCCGTAAAGCTGCTGTCAGGACTTTCCACTGTGGATGAACAAGAGTAGAAGTGGTGTTACAAGAACACAGCATTTACATTAAAATGTTGCTGGTAGCTTTTCGTCTTTTCATTAAGGGCACTATATTTGTATGTTACATACCAGCGGAGACCAGAGCTGGATGTCACATGAGTGTCATAAAGCTAATATCCACATTAATAGATGGTGCAGAAATAAAATGTTGTATTGAAAATTATCATTTTGGGGTAGATTGTTACATATGCACACTGTCTCAGACTCTTTAAGCCTAAAGAACATGCAAAAAAGACAAAAAAAGTGTGACAACCAACCCCAGTCTCCTCTGTATGTAATTAAATAATGTTTTAACTCAGAAAGCATGACTCGAAGGAGGAAGTATGTGAACTTTAAGTTGGCCTGAGAAATCTGTTACTGTGAAATCCCAGGTGTTGCTAAGGTGTTACTAGGCCATTGCTGTTATGCCAGGTGGTCACTAAGGTCTTGCTAGGCCGTTGCTACAATATCCCAGGTGGTTGCTAAGGCAATGCTAAGGTCTGTGAGTTTGTATGTACTGTCTATGAGGGCCAGTCCTTTGTGACATCATTTGTGGCATTTGAATTTGAGTTTTTTATTTTGCCATTTATTTCCCATAGGGGTAAAAACATGTTTGAACAAATGCTGTATGAAAATTGTACCTTCAATCGGTCCTAAAAGAACAAGCACACTATTTCTGTATAGCTTCTATGATCCTGCAGTTTTGGGGTTCTAGCTCAAAAACTGAAACCCATAAAAAAGGTACAAAAAAGCATAAAATAATACTACCAAGAACAGTTAGTTGGTTTTATGAAGCCAACTTAATGAGTAAAGGGAAGTTTGTTGTAGATCTGGAATGTATTTGTAAGCACTCATTTCTGCTATTATCCCAAAGCCCTGGATCTGGAACGTCATGTCTCACCATCACAGTCAGGAGCCAGCGACGAGAGCGAGAGTGATATGTTGGGGTGGGGTTTAACAGCAGGAGCAACAGCAGACTGTGGAAGAAAAGGGGGTGGAGCTGCTGTGGGACTGACAAGAGTGAGGAATGTAGAGATGCCAGCACACTAGCACACCAACATACAGCCAGGCATCCTGCCACCTACAGTGAACTCAGAAACACATGAAAAGCAACATTAACATGGCTAGGTCACTGTCAAGACGATGATGACGGTGCTGATATGGATGAAGGAAGCGATTCTGTGCTCATCACCTCTAAAATATGTAGATGTGATAAGTGTTGTCTGGGATCCAGCTCAAAGATGAGGACGTGATTGATTCCAGATTTCCCCCAGCAACACATGCTCAGTCCCATGAGGAACAGGAACTCAATCAGCAGAAAGCTGCCTCTGTAGAGCTGAAGGAGTGCCTTCAGATGCTCTAGGTGCGGTTCATTCCACACTTGTACACATAGATGAGCATTAGCCAGCCATTGAAGGAGGAAAATGAAAGAGATATGAGCTGCTCAAGTGTGGTTTAAATTTTAGATAACAGTATGGAGCTGTTTGGGGTCAAAGTGGAATTAACATGGTCCTACTAACCTTTAAAAGCAATTAAAGTTAGCAGAGCTATCACAAGGCCACAGGTGACACCGATCCTGAAGGTTATCCACTGTCCAGCTGTCTTTGCATGAATAAAAATATACAGAGTGGTTTGATGTGAAATGGTTCATTGTAGAGAAACTTTATGACCTAACAATTTAATTTACAACAATGGTGATAGGAACCAGGGGTCACACTCTCTATAATACAATGGCCAATTACTATCTACAACCACCAGTGAACCTACACATTTTTAGTTTTTAAATGTAATGTTGATCATGATGAAATATGGTGAAATAGTGAAAAATATGTTTCTTTCATGAACTATTTTGCTTCACAATGCAAAAATCTCTCAATTAAAAGATGTAGTTCTTACCTGTTCCGTTCCCCTCGGTGGGACTTGTAGCCTTCTCAAAGCTTTCTGTTTATTGCCACCCTCAAGCTGAAGCATGAAGGTCTATTGGGTTAAATTGATAAGAACAATTAAATACTAAATGTACTAAAGTTTTTCTAAAAACAATAACAACATAGGAAACAGCCAGTCAACAGTATTCTCACCTCCAGTCTAAACATCATCTGACCACAGCGAGTCCTTTCTGTGTAAAGGAAAGAAGCGTCCAGTTTTTCAGTCCTCCATTGTAGTCCATGCTCACATGCAAATTTTGCATCATACTTTTTGGTGATCTTATAGAAACCTGTGTAGTTCAGTTCCTGTGGTCACAAAAATAAAGGTTATTGAGAATAACTACTACATAACATCAAGTAATCATATTCTGGCCAGATTAGACTTCTACCTGGTAGCTTTGGAGAAAGACCAGACCCAGATAAAGTTCCCCTACAGCCATTTTGAGTTTACGCAGTTCAGTCTTTTTCCTCTGTGTATGTTTGTAGGCCTTTGAGTTGGCTGTGACACATCCATCTCCTCCTTGCCCTTGACCAGAACCATCCAGAGCAATGAGACCAAATGAGGCCAGCCTCCTGTTCGCCTCTGTTAACTTTTCTGAGAAGAAACAGATAAATCATGTTACAATTTAACATTATAGCCCTAAAAACTAAAAAGCCTAATAAGAACTGTTGAGCAGCCTACCTGAATAGAAGTTGTTCACCTTTAACAGCTCTTTGTCACATCTCTTGAAGAACACCTGACACTCTAGCCTTACCTGCTTACTGTAGCCTGCAAATAATTCACCAGTATTAATGTAAGAAAAATAATAAACCTGTAGATAATTAGCACACAACCTGAATGTAATAGCTGTTCCACTCTCTTCTCTAATTGGGATTACTTTTATAAGCTCATTAATCTTTCATTTGTCCTGTATTGCCTTTGGTATTGTGAGAATGTGCCATGCAATGATAAGTTCTATGAGGTATTTTGTTACACTGAGAATAATTTATGAGATTATTGCATTGTCTTATTAAAGGACCATAAATCGCACTTTGACAGCTTTGCAAGAGAGAACATGCTTTAGCCTCTAATTTCAAACATTTATTTTTCAAAGTGTCAGTTTGATTGAATAGTTACTATATAAACAAAGACATTCAGAATGGTTTGGTGTAAAATGCTCTATTCTAGAGAAAGCTGCCAAGTCAAAATTGTTCACAGTGGTGGTGATAGGAACCAGACGTCTGAAGAGTTTTATGCCTCTAACAGCTTCCTCAGAGAAATTTATTACATGAAATAGCTTTGCTTGATGCCTCAGACATTGTTTCCCTGTAGGTTTGAAGATACAGAGTCCCTAACGAAAACGTGCATTTTCAGATTTACTACTATGTCACTATTAGTAACATTACATATAAAAACTCAGAACACATGTAAGTTTACAGGTGGTTTTGGATAGTAGATAAAATTTATGTTGTAGACAACGAAACTCCTGGTTCCTGTCACCACCACTGTAAAGAAATCCAAGTCAGCAAGTTTCCCCACAGTGCACCATTTCACATCAAAGCACTCTGAATAACTTTGTTTACATCTGAATGACTGAATTATGCAGAACTTTTGAAAAATCCATGGAATTCCACTTTAAACTAAGCTCTGCATTACACATTATTACACTGCACATTATCATGCATTTGAATGTTTATTATGTTTTCTGTTATAAGCATTTGCTGCATAATGAGTGCATAATATTACGTGCAGTACAGTTCTACCACTTTGTGAAATGATGCATTCATTAATATTACTTACTATTGTATAAGAAGTTCTGTGTGTCTTCTTTGCTAAGTATGGAATTCAGGGCCTGGAATGAATGCATTTATCTTGTTTATGGGGAAAATGCATGCTTAAGCAAGCAAAAAGTCAAAAGCATGTTTGATAATTGGTAAATCTAAGCACACATTCAGATCTTTTTCAAAACATGCAACATCATGACTAAATGACAGCTTACCTTATAAGAAATGTATTGCTTCTTCCACTCTGGAATCATCTGTGCAGTCAAATGTTCTGAAAAGCTTATATGAGTTACGGACATTTTAACAAACAGTCAGTTTAGCAAAGTTAGTCTGTTTAATAGCAATAGAGCGAGAGCACGACAGGTACCAAGGGCAGAGAGAGAGGGGGAGAGAGAGAGAAAGAGAGAGCACACGCGAGAGAGAAGGAGGTGAGCACAAAAGCTGTTACAGTGCAAGAGCACAAAGAATTACTACCCTCATCTATAATTCAGCAGGTCATCTCAGCATTTAAACAACCTCAGTCAACTAACTGTAGCTCACTCCATCACCAAACTCCTGAAAATAAGGGTTCCTAAAATGTTCTGGACACACTGTACTAATGGAAATACTTAATTGGTACAGATAGAACCATCTTTAAACTTTAAATTGGTTCTTCACACCTCATTTACAAAAATGCTTCTTTAAAGAATCATCTACTGAAATGTTCTTTATGGAACCCAAAGTGGTTCTTCTAAGATATCACTTCGGAGAGACCTTTTGATGCCTTTGTTTTTAGGAGTATATGTGCAGATTTCTGCATTAATAAAAAAAAAAAAGTTTCCTCTTAAAGGGCGCATATTTATGGAAAGCCCAATTTTGATGTAAAATGTAAACACTGGTAAAATTTTGAAACATACCACTTACTTCACAGTCCATGTGGTCAATGTATATAGAAACCAAGCTGCAAAAATAATCCATTATAAACGTCTTGTTTTTGTGATGTCACAAAAACCAATCTGTTCACATATATGCGCCTATTCAGCCTACAGTAGTTTAGGCCCACCCAAGTGTTTCAGCATAGAATGCCTCTTGAATGAGGCAAAATGCATAGCACCCAACCAGAAGTGTAGTCATTTACATATATCATATACAAAGGCACAGTAACAAGCACAGCCTGTTTAGTTCCAAGGGGTAAAGAAAGGTTGGAAAATGGTCAAGTAAAAATTAAATATGATTATTTTTGGTAAATAAAAGAACCACAAATGTCAAAAAAAAACAAAAAAAAAAAACATAAAAACATAAAAAATGTAGAACGTGGGCCCTTTAATTATTTTTCTTTTCTTTTTTCCCGAATGCCAGAATCGTGACAGTAAGCCATAAGCTCATTATGAACTCAGCCCTCTCTAACATGCCATGAACGAATTATTCCATAATAACTCATATCAAGTCTTTCTTGTTCAGCCTAAAAGTATACACCGATCAGGCATAACATTATGACCACCTCCTTGTTTATATGCTCATTGTCCATTTCATCAGCTCCACTTACTATATAGGTGCACTTTGTAGTTCTACAATTACAGACTGTGGTCCATCTGTTTCTCTGTATACTTTGTTAGCTCCCTTTTACCCTGTTCTTCAGTGGTCAGGACCCCCATGGACCCTCACAGAGCAGGTACTATTTGGGTGGTGGATCATTCTCAGCACTGCAGTAACACTGATGTGGTGGTGGTGTGTTAGTGTGTGTTGCGCTGGTCGGAGTGGATCAGACACAGCAGTGCTGCTGGAGTTTTTAAACACCTCAGTGTCACTGCTGGACTGAGAATAGTCCACCAACCAAAAATATCCAGCCAACAGCGTCCCGTGGGCAGCGTCCTGTGATCACTGATGAAGGACTAGAGGATGACCAACACAAACTGTGCAGCAGCAGATGAGCTATCGTCTCTGACTTTACATCAACAAGGTGGACTAACAAGGTAGGAGTGTCTAATAGAGTGGACAGTGAGTGGACACAGTGTTTAAAAACTCCAGCAGCACTGCTGTGTCTGATCCACTCAGAGCAGCACAACACACATTAACACACCACCACCACGTCAAGTATTACCAGCTCTGTAAGGGTCCTTGGGGGTCCTGACCACTGAAGAACAGGGTAAAAGGGGGCTAACAAAGTATGCAGAGAAACAGATGGACTACAGTCTGTAATTGTAGAACTACAAAGTGCACCTATATAGTAAGTGGAGCTGATAAAATGGACAATGAGCGTAGAAACAAGGAGATGGTCATAATGTTATGCCTGGTCGGTGTAGTATAATGCATAACGTCATCGTCGGAGCAAAATCTCGTACCTCCATGTTCTTCTTTGTACTGCACTCCTTTACAACTTAGACACTATATATGTAAACATATCATATGTATATATGTAAATATAAACATATCTATATATGTAAATATAAACATCTAGGCTACTCTCCACACTGTTTTTCTTTTGAGTCTTATGAAGCATGAGCGAGTGATACAGAAAGGCCTTTTCAACAATCCTCCTCAAATAATCATGGCAACACAAATATTTGTAGGTAATTAACTCACTGAATGAACTCAGTATGCTTTATAGTTATTGACTGTTCTATTCATTCATCTTTTGATTACAAGCAAAATTATTTAGAAATCATTTAGAAATGGAAAAAAAGGAACAGACGACAAAATATTCTCTGCTTTCTGACACCACAGATACAAAACTGATTTAAAATAATTCTTGAGAGTAAAAAATTGGGGCAGCTGTGGGTATTTTGGAACCAGGTCACTCAGTCCCCATTGAGATGATGCTCTTACCCTGCGACCATCACCACGAGTACAGATTCACGTGCATGGGAGTAATCATGACCTTCCACAGGATGTGGACAATCAAGAGGCTTTAGATGGTGTAGAAGATTTAGATGGTGGCAGAATCTGGGCAAAAACTTTTGAAAGTTAAGGGGGACTTTGCAGGCTGTAAAGTTCAACCTTAAAATTAACGGTGGTGAAAAGGGTTCTTTGGAGCAATGTCACAGAACCCCTTTTGGTTCCCTAAACCAGCAGTTCTCAAACTGGGGGCCACAGGGGAGTCCTAAGGGGGCCTTAAAAAAATCTCAGACATTGTGTATCTGCTTAGTTAAATGTGCTTTGGCAACTTTGGCATGATAAAAAACAGGTTTCACTTTATTTGGATCGTCCCCTTTAGATTATCTACAGATGTTCAAATTGTTAACAAACTGTCTGTTGAAACTTTTAGGTTAGGATTTGGACCAGGGTTAGGGTTGGGTTTAGGTTTTGGGTTGAGGTTAAGGTTAGGGTTAGGATTAGAGCCAGTTTTAGAGTTAAAGACAATTATGATCAATTTAGTAGACATTTAGTTGAATGTAACTTGAAAATAAATTAAGAATCTACAAAGCATCTAAAGTGGACTATCCAAATAAAGTGTTACCCACTAAGTGTTTTTCTATGAGACATTCTGGATATTGATTCTTGATATAACTTATTATGGAATCACCTGCAGCTGAGTTCATCATCAAAAATGCCTTCCTAAATTGTCAGAAACCTGTAGAATAAAAGCATCATAATAAAATAATCTTCTACATGTATCTGCTGCTAAATTGGTTTCATATTATTGAAAACCGAACTGATTCCAAAAAAACTGATTAATTGTTACAATTTCCAAAAGGATAAATAAACAGACAAGTATAAGCAGGGAAAAATATAAAAAAATCGAATTATTGTTTATTTGAATCATCCATCCATCTTGATGACTGTCCGCATTGACAAAAACATGATGAAGTACCTGAAATGTTTGTGTTCTCAAAAACCTCCAGTACAGACCTGAGCACATTTTGTGAGATGCTCACCAAAATGAAGATGCTTCATATCACCACATACTTATAAATAAAAGACAAGTGAGCACCTTCTCAGCTTAAAATTAGGCCACTCCTAGATCCAACTAATAAAACATAACACATATTCTTCTGCACCACACCAGTGTAAACTGAACATAAAGTTCTAAATATTACTATTCATTCTGTCATACACAGTTCAATGTCACATGCACAAAATGACATGCATACCAAAAAAAATGCTTCATTATTGAACATAAGGCAAAACATCAATGCAGAGTGAGGTTTATCTAAGGCCACAATATGTGCTTTTGCTGCACATATTTTTGTTTGAGAATACTGCTTAATGGCTTAACATTTACACATTAAATTCAAATCTTTGGGGTCTAAACACTTTTCTGGGACACTTTTTAAACACATCACAGTGTTTAGTTGAGCTGTTCCACTTTCTGAAAACAAATACACACCAAAAAAACACCCCTGTTAAAAGATGAGTTTTATATCTAATCATAATCAATAATAAGGTATTAAACGCTAATTTTTACCTGCTGTTACAGTCTCAAATAGGGAAACAAAGCAATTAGCTATGAGAGGAAGTGCATTACTGTGATTTTATCACAAGGAAGGGGTGTTATTACTCTCTTACATATGATAAAAACACTGTAATGCATGTCAAGTGGCTTAGTGCTTTTATAAAATACATGTTTTCAAACCTTTGCCTTAAATTCATTTTTTCAAACTAAATTACCATTGCAATGATGATGCTCATTTCCACTAGCCCCTATATGAGATTTTTGTGCCACACATTTGTTTTTCACACTCTGTTTAACGTTGATCAAGGCAAATCTAACCAAAAACACAGACATTTGAAGCATGTAAGCCATCCAGACAGCATATTCTTCACTTTTATATTGCAGTATTACAGTGAATCTCAATTCAGAGCCTAACACTGAATAATAATGCAGTAGTGAATTAACCTGTTAGCTACCTTTTAGCCTGTTTAGCCTGCTACATTTTATATTAGTTGTTAAGAAAATAAGTGGCCCTATAGTTTAACCAAACCAGGTTCTTACTTCATCTATCAATATAATCTATAGCAGGATAACAGTCCATTCAGAGCACATTATTTAGCATTCATACAGAATATAATTTGCGGTCATAAGTGTGTGGATAATGAGTATTTTGCAACAGCTTCAAAACCGGCTCAGCCAATCAGATTTTAGGACTGAATCTGTTTTACAGCAGTTCAGCTAAACACTGTTATGTGTTTAAAGACTGTGACACTGTGATGTGTTTAAAGACAGTGACAGAAGTGTTAAAAACTTACACATTTGAATTTGTGGTGTAAATCACTGGCTCTGTTCAATTTTAAAACTATCCGTTCTAAAACATTCAAGTGCTATCTAATGATCTTTGTACACTTCCATGACCATCTGAGTCAAGACTTAGGTTGGATAACCACAACAGGCTCCCCTTTTTTAGGCCTCCAAATTAGCACCTGAGCATCATTGGCATTGGGCTTGACCAAGGCATTAGGTGGGATAGGCTCATTCTTGGCCAGGATCTCCGGCTGTTCCTGAGTGAGAGGCTCCAGCAGACGGGCTCTCTGACCGAGAGGCTTCTGTGAGTCCACCTCGATATTGAGCCGCATCCTCCAGCGGATGGTCCTGAGCAGCACCATCTCGGCCGTGGTTTCGTTCATGGCCACTAGCCAAGTGGTAAAGCGCTGGTCCCTCCGGATGGAGCTGAGGAGCGGGGGACTGCTGGTGGTACCTGTGGGGACACTCCAGGTCACGCTGGGGCTGAAGTTGTCATTCATGCTGATGGTGAGGGTGGTGCTCCTCTTGGTGGGCCCCACGATGGTGTACATCTCAGTAGTGCAGCCATACCATGGGTAGTTCACACCGTCTGAGTCGCTGATGGCCTGGATGCGTCCATCTCTCAGCTCAGGAAGCTCCCAGCTTGATCTACGGAAGCAAAGCTTACTTAGATAAGTGGAACCTGTAAAGAGCAACCATCAACAATCTTCTTCAAGGACACATTTCCTTCATCAACTGTTCTTATCCTTCTTTTTCATTTCTGCTTCCCTTATTCTATGAAGTGGCTAGCGTCTCTATTGATCAGACTCAATTAGTCAAATGTATGCAATCACATATATGATGGCTATGAACGTAATAAATCCTTACTCTTAAAAACAGACAGTCTGTGCATAAATACAAAACCTGGACTACTTGGACAAAGGTCATCTATTGTGAAGGCCAATCTGATAATCAAGGAAAAGATGAATGAACACATTTGGCTGGAACAAAAACAGGGATATTTCCTTCAGCGCCGATGCTAGAAAAGACAGACTTTTTGTCCTACTTGGGGTGTGCTCAACTTCTCTGCCATTAAGGAAACAATCCCAGGAAATTGGAGCATAAACATCACTAACATCCTGAGTGACCAGTCTTGTGAAAGTCCCTTAAAGCTATGAGCTGCATGAAACCCGCTAGAGAGTGCATTGTTTAACAGAAGGCCCTATTTCTATAGAATTTTATTACTTAAAGAGCACGCTTTAAGCAATGTACTTGGTCCTTTTCATTATTTATTATTAACTTCTAACGAGAGATGGTTTGCATTTTTAGTTTAATCTTTATCCTTACTAACAGACTAAATTGTGGATAATGTAATTTTGAGTTTATCGGAGGTTTACTACATGAACTACAAGCTAATCATTTCTCAAGAGATTAGAAATAAAATAATCTGTTTGCATATGGAAGGGAAAGTCAACAGAAAATATGTGAAAAAACAGGAGCTTCAAAAAATATTAAAAGATAAAAGAGAAAATCGGACTCCTAACAACCATGCATGACTTGGTAGATCACCAAATCTTACTATCAGATAAATGCATCCTCTGGAAAACGAAAGTGTGCTTTTGGGCCATCAAAAAAAATCATACTTCTTATAAATAGAACATCAATAAGGCGCACTTACTATTATAACTTAATATATTATTATACTACTACTATATATACTTCTTAATATTATTTATTATTAAATGACCTATTCTTACATCAGTCTTTTCATACTCACATTCCTTCCTCGCCATAGCAATTGAAGAAATCCATTTGGTTGCATGCCTGGACCCAGCCCACAGTCCAGATCTCTTTGCAGACCACTGGTGGCACCTGCACCTGTGCGGTAGCTCTAAAGTAGGGTGTGCGGTACCGCAGCACCACACTGGATGACTCATCGATGACAGTAGGGTTAGAGTCAATAGAGGTGTTCAGTTCAAGGACTGTGAAGTTTTCATAAAATTTCGGCCTTGGTCGCACACTCTGTATGCAGCCCATGGTGGTGGTGATGATCAAAACTATAAGCACCCATCAGTCTTAAAATGAAGCAGCTCTCACGCTACTATAAAACATAATACTCTTTACCATGTGATTAACCAAATGTGGAAGGTGTTTACGCACAAGTACCAAGAGCACTAGATTAGTGCTAGAAAGTGTGCTACACACGAGGTAGGCTACAATTCAGTGGATCTTGACCGGTTTGGCAGTCAAATGCAATGACACTTCTGTTGCAGTACTAAAGCTTAGCAGTCCCATGGTCAATATCCCATATCTACACCAGGAATCATAAGCTCCAAAGACCAAAATAGCATACGTGCAAGAACTAAACGCCAGCTTCCACGAATCTACATACTTAATAAATATGCAATTATGACAACAGGAGCAGAAAAGACGGTGTCAGCTCATATGTACATCTAGTAAATAATAAATGACATACATGCAAATGCCCAAGTAACACCTGTTACACGGGCTCCAGTAGTAAGGCATAACGGCCAATAACTGCAGCACGAGTATTCAGCTCTAGTCAACACTGAATTCCGCCGCTCTCAGCTGCGAGTCCACAAATACGGCGATGACAGATGATAAAGTCAGTATCGCGCTGTAAAATGTACATCCATTCACTTTATTCCCGGCTCGACATCTCCGCTTTATCTTCTGGCTCGTGAGAAAGTGACAGTTTCTCGCGTGAATAAATTTTCTGGCGTGAATAAATTCTCTCCTCCTTTCTCGTCATGTCTGAGGGATTTAAAATCCGAGACTAGTCGTGGTACCTTGGCTCGCCCTAGTCCTATTATAGGCGTGTAATGCAATACTTCAGCTGCTGGGTTTTATTTTTTCTCTCCAAGCGGCTTAGAATTAGACTTCCCCTCTTGAGGCCCCAATGCATCTTGGGTAGTGTAGTTCCGAAGCGGTACAGCGTCTCAACTAGTTAAAGCTGAATTTTTTCAGACTTTCTGTATTATTTAACCGTTAAGATGTAAGTAATTCAGAGTTGTTTGATTTGATTGATTTGAAATGCTCTGCTCTTGAGACGCTTTCCGTATCAAAATTTTTCACAGTTGTAGTGATAAGAACCAGATGTCAGAAGTAATTGATGCGTCTAAAAGGTACATTACAGAAAACTACTACTCGAAATGGCTACAAAGACACCGATTGATGTCTGAGGCATTGTTTTACAATGGTTTGAGAGAAGCTTTTGGCCTAAAACACGTGTTTAAAATCCATTCATGGCAAAGAGGTATACATGCAGGGCATTTTAAGGCAAAATGGCACCCACAGAAAACAGTTTTTCAGGTGAATTCTTGCTTTCCATTATCAACATTATAGATAAAAGTTCAGAAGATGTAGGTTTGAACATGTAGGTCCGCTGGTGGTTTTTGATAGTAAATTAAGTGGCTTTATTTGCATTTTAGACAACTTGACACCTGGTTCAAATCACCACCACTGTAAAGAAATCTTGGTCTGTAAGTTTCTCCACATTGAATCTTTTCACATCAAACCACTCTAAATGACTTTGTTTACATCTCAACCATTAAGTTATGCGGAAACTTAGAAAAATCAGTGGAATTCCCCTCTCAAGGCCACTCCACCTGCTAGCACCTCACGATAATGGAAATGTTTGTTACACTACCTATTTAAGATTTTACAACCCTAAATAATTAGTATATATTATTTTGCAGGTTGTGAATGGCCTGAAAGTGGTTACCATAGAAGAGCTGCATTATGAAATAAGAGGGATATAAATAAACATCAGAGCTCTCTGCGTAGTTTTGGTGGAAGCTAACTGGTGAGATATGTTGTTAAGAAATTGAATCTTTCTGTGAGTCATGGGTGAACAATTGTGTCGGCATCTATATGAGGGATCTACTAAAGATTTTAGGGGGGTTTGTTCACCACAGCCCCCCCTGCTCCAATAGATAGTTAGCTGTACCCCTGACTAAAACATATAACTCTACTGAAGTGCTGAATTCTGATTCTATGCACAAGCTGAGCTTAGTTCTAGAAGACAATTATGCAGTGTACTCAGCAGGCATCCATAAAAGTCTGCTAGTATAGAATTTTGATTTATACATCATGAACATGTATTTTTACATCATTCTGCATATTGGATAGCAGGACACCCTGAAAATATAATGTAATGTGAAAAGATAAATCAAATATACAAATAAATTAATGTATTTGGATCATTCTACCAAATTGCTTCAAAGTCAGAGCTGAAAACATATTTCTGACTGTTAACTGACACAGACTTTAGACCAAAATCCTTCTGCTTTGAGTGACCCTATACCTTAAATATGTTTATTTAATTAAAATAAATTATTAAACATTCCATTTTGTCACTACCAAAACATTCAGAACACTACTGGAACTTTTCTGTTGACAATTTTAGCTAATTTTGAGCATAACTCAAAAAAGCTAGCCAGTAAATGACTAGAAAACACTGCTTTGAACAGCTGTACACATATTAAATCATAATATTTTTTAATAAAACACAAAAACTTTAACAGCTCACCATGTGGCCATGAGGGGACAAGGATGGGGTCTATTCTAAAATGCAGGGGTGTGGCTAAATAAGGCTCCGCCTATGAACTAAAACTCTTTGCGTTCCGGTAGTGACATGAAAACATTTTAGTATTTTATCATTTAAAAATTAAACTCAGGATGAATCGAAAAAATAAATGTAATTCACTTTAAAACAACAAGATCTTAAAAAACACAAGTATTAAGTAAAAGGTATAATTTTCCAAGTCGAAATTACGGATTACGGTTTGGGACAACCACCAATAGAAAGAACCCTATAAATGATCATTTCGTATTCGTATTTAGCTTATTACTCTCTCTATTATCTCCATTAATGACGCGTTTAAATAGGTCATAACATACTCCTTGTAAACATCTAACGCCGGAATACTTAATTGTACTTAATTATACTTAAATTCTTAAACGTCTGAATACTTAGTTGTTATTTAAGTATTATTAAGTAGAATGGTTCATACTGAAAAGAGCTTTTTTTGTATGTTACACTGTGTATTTTATTCAATTTACCCATTAAATCGTGTCATTTTTTCACTGTATGTTTTTGACGATACCTGCCAGCTTCTGCTTTTCTAGCAAAGCTGCACAGCGCAATAAGAGTATGTCATTATAGTCTATGAAGAAAAAACTTTCTCTGGCTGCGAGCGCAGTGTTAAACAGCCATGTGGTCGCTCTTCATAAAGCCAGTCAGTTGCCGTGTCTACGTCTATTTATAGACTGGAACTGGAATAGAAACTCGCAAGTGTTACAACAGGGCAATACGTGACCTGGGAACGGACATGGTGGAGCGCTCACCGCCACCGCGCGCCAAGAACAAAATAGAGGGACAGTGAATTCAGGTAAAGAGTGGACGACGTGCTTTAGAGAGCCACCATGCCCACGACTCGAGCGAGGGCGAGGAACGTGCTGAACAGGCCCGAGTTCATGTCCCTTCACCACCAGCCTGCGCGGAGCGCGGGCGCTGAGGCTCGCGCTGGTGCGCGCAGGCCGTCGTACAAAGCCCAGCAGCAGCAGCAGCAGCACGCGGGCCAGGGCTGCGAGCACGCGCAGCAGCAGGACGCGGCTGAGAACGGCAGGGAGCGGAGGGAGTACCCGGAGGAGGACTGCATGCAGCTCAACCCGTCCTTCAAGGGCATCGCCATGAACTCCCTCCTGGCCATCGACATCAGCGTGTCCAAGCGGCTCGGCGTGTGCGCGCACACCACGTCGTCGTGGGGCAACATGCGCGCCATAGTCAAGCTGCTCGCGCTCACCGGCCACGGCATCCCGTGGATTTTGGGCACCCTCGTGTGCCTCACGAGAAGCAACACGCTGGCCGGACAGGAGGTCCTCGTGAACTTGCTGCTGGGTGAGTTTTTTGCTCTTTGGAGCATAACTCAGCAAAATCCAACCCTTTTGGATTCACTCGCAGGAGTGTTTATTTGGGTCAGTAAGCTGAACGCTGGGTGTCAATTCCACACTGTGAGAGTCATTTCAGCACGGGAGTAAAGTGTTAGACAGCAGTGGGGCGGAGCGATTTTGAGGTTCGATACGATTTTCCGAATCTGAGGCCAATATTCGACCGAATTATCGATATTTTATGTGTTACACATGCCTTGTTTCTCCTGTATAGTATACCATACTGTACACTTTGCATCCACTGGTTTTAAGAACAAAACAAAAGTAAAATGCTGCAAAGTAGCATTTCTTTGTGAAAAACAGGGACACAAAACATTTTCATGATACGTGATAAGTATTACAGTGTTTTGTTTTGAGATTTGATAAGTTGGTACAGAAAAAAGAAACCTACAGAAAAAAAGTAGTGCCAGTTTTAAACTATCAAAAACTATGAATGCAGTGTTTTTTTTTCCCAGAATTTCACATACAGCACTAAATCAAATTAAACAGGGCTTATTATGCTTTATTTGTAATGACATGCAGTTGGTCACTGTTCTTTAAGTAATGATGGCTTCCACAATATGCTTAGAAAAGCTTATTTTGACGTGGCTTATCACAATAATAATAAATACCGTCATATCGCTCACCCTTAACAGGGATCTTATCATATTATAAAATAGCTATAAACAATACAAAATAGACAGGATGCTACCAAATATCTACTTTTGATCAGTGATGTTGATTTCCATGAAGGACGACAAACAAGAAACGCTCTGTGGAGAGTAGACATGCCAATAGAATGATACACTCTTTTGTTCTTTTTTCAGTTTTTTGATATTGTATGGAAAATGTTACGCGCTTATCCAGCTGTCCCACCTCTTGATAAAACTTGCAACTAAAACCCCTCTCTGTGAACTTTACAGCTCTGATAGGAGAGCTTATGTTATTTGTCTTGATTAGAAAACTCTTGCTAAGTATTTAAAACACAAGAAATTAATCAGAAACATATATTAAGCAGCTGCTTTCATGTGCAGCAGCTGTAAATGAATTTTGCTATCAAAATGACCAATAGCTAAGCACCATTGGGCATCATCAATAACCTGGAGTAAGGGTGTCTTTGTGTCTGTGTGTTTTGGTAGTGCATGGTCAAAGTGTTAAGATGTGTTCTTATTGTATCCTCACAGAAGAGTTTTTTTTTGGCCAGCAGGATGCTGCTAGGTTTGTAGGTCAGTAGCTAGGGGAATACAGGAGGATCCATTTCGTGTTATCTGACTGACTGATACATGTGAATCTCTATTGCACTGATTAGTTTGGTTGCCAAGTATTTGCAAGTCCAAAAATATGAGTTTTATCTGGTTTTGTTTCATTTTTTTATTGCAATTATTGACAAGTCCCTCCTACACTCTAAAAAGTAAAGAAGCCACAGAGTAACCACTTTTGGCTCTCTAAAAAACCTTTCAGTGGATGATTCTTTAAATAACTCTTTTGGTAAAAGAGATGTGAGCGTGAGGAACCTTTAGTTTGAAGAGCTGTCACATGACATAAATGTTTATACCAGTTAAATTGTACATCGTGGACTAGATTTTTTAGGAATATTTCAGAATGGAATTTGTCATTTCTGTAATGGTCCAATAACACATTTTTTTTGTTGTTGCTCCGTCTGGAGTCAAGTTATGACATTTGTTTAGTTTTATTTACCAAAAACAATTCATTTTTACATGACCATCCAACTTCTCATTATCACTTAGAATTAAACTGATGTTTTTATCACCTTGATTGATTGAAATATGTAAATGACCTCTGTTCTGATTGGCTGATGTTGCTTCCAGAGGCAGTTTTGAACTCTGTAGTGATTGATGCAACAGAGGACAGGCAATATTTTTGTGCTGCATCACTCAGCCTACCGCTTAGTGGCTGAGCTGTTGTTGATCCTAGACACTTGCATTTTACAATAATAGCACTTACAGTTGACCAGGGCAGATCTAGCAAGGCAGAAATTTCCCAAACTGACATGTAGCAAAAGTGGCATCCTATGTCAGCGCCACATTTAAAGTCACTGAGCTGTTTATTTCGACCCATTATACTGCCAGTGCTTGTCTATGGGGATTGCATGTTGTTAGCAAAACCTTTTTCCATGTTATGGGTCCTTTAATCAGTTTTACCTACACTTTTTACCTTCTGTGTCAAAATTAGTCTCTCGTGTCTCATGTGTGATACTGAACACACAGTAAAACCTCTCTTGTCACTTGCAGCCCTCTTACTGGACGTGATGACTGTGGCGGGCATGCAGAAGTTGGTGAAGCGCAAAGGGCCCTGGGAGATGTCCCCGAGTTTCCTGGACTACCTGGCCATGGACGTCTACTCCTTCCCAGCAGCCCACGCGAGCCGGGCAGTCATGGTGGCCAAGTTCTTGTTGGCGCACTTGGTGCTGGCGGTTCCTCTGCGCATTCTGCTGGTGCTGTGGGCTTTTCTGGTGGGCATGTCGCGCGTAATGCTGGGCCGCCACCACCTCTCAGATGTAGGATGTGGCGTCGCTTTGGGATTTCTCCATTACAGTCTGGTGGAGATGGTGTGGTTGTCTTCCGGCACTTGTCAGACTCTTATCTCCATCGGCACTCTCAACTGGAGCCCCTTCTATTGATCAATGTGTGATACCTGCAGCCTCCAGAACTTTTGAATCAGGATAAATTCCCTCTGCTCACACTGCGGAATTAAAGTGGAAAACACATATGCACATATTCTGAGAGAAACTGAAGGTCTTAGGTAGTTTTAAAGCTTGAATTCGGCATTTTTTTTCATTTCTGCCAAAGCTGTATAACATGATAGAGGCATCTGAGAAGCACACAGTGTGGACATTTGCTATTTGCCAAATAGCAATGCCCATGCAAAGAATTTCACTGTTGTACATTGTTAAAAGCCAAAAATGGTCTATGTATAGCGTAGATAAGCTAATTTGATTTGCATTTGTTTTTAACTGCTGTGGGAGAGCGACGTTGCTCAGGGATTTTTGTAACAGCAACATACTGTGCCATGAAAAAACTTGTTTTATTTTGAAATTGGATATCCTTTGAGAAAAAAACACACTCGCCGGATATTGATGCTAAGTCAAAAAAATAATGATGGAAACTTTCAGAAGGCCTGCAGCTGAGTTTAACTTCCTTTCTCTTTTTATTTTTTGCCATGTACAACACATACTGACTTAGTGTTCCTAAGATTTACTCATGACATTTAAAGCACTTTGATAATTGCTCTGAAAAACAGTGTTGTTTTTTTCCAGACATGCCATTTGTACTATGATTGTTTGCCTTAGCTGTGAAAGTAAAGACGTGACGCCTCCAGAGATGAAAAAGTCCCTCTAATAAATCTGACACTGATGAAGGCTAATCATTATAAACACTGGTACTGTATATGTTGTATACTAAGGCTGCACAATATAGCGTTTGTTGCAGAAGTGTACAGTATGCAGATGAGCCTCTATCCAGTGACTGATTGTTTCATTGTGTTTTGTGAGATGCTCTTTTGGATGAATCAAGGCATTTGCATAATCCAACAAATAACTTAGCTCAAAAACAGAACAGTCTTTAACCGTGTCACATTAAAGGTTCCTTAATGTGTTTTCAGTGTATTGGAAGATATATCATAATCGCACCGTCCATTAATACAGTTTGCAATATGGTGTTTTGTCCATATCATGCAGCCAAAACTAGAATACTGACCTACTGCTTTTAAAAAAGTTTTCTAATTGTCTGCGTAATTAATTTGTTAACATGTAAACAAAGTCACTCAGAGTGGTTAGATGTGAAATGCTCTATTCTTACTGTGTTAGAACTATTCACAGTGGTGGTGTTAGGAGCCATACAACCCAAGAATGCCTCTAAAAGCTCCCTCACAGAAAGTTATTGCTTGAAAAGGCTAAAAATATGATGCCTGATGCCTCAGTCACTGTTTTACAATAGAATCAAGAAGGTTTTGGTCTAAAACTTATTTTTTAAAATACATTCATGGCAGAGAGGTACATAAAGAGTCTTGTTAGACAAAATAGTCCCTTCATATTTATTTCAGATTTACCGCTATTTTACAATTATTAACATTGCATATTAAACTCAGATTACACCAGTGGGTTCACTGTCGGTTTTGGAAAGTAAATAAAATGGCTGTATTTGTATTGTAGACATTGTGACCCCTGGTTCCCATCACCATCACTATGGAAAAATCTGAGTCATTATATGAGTCATATCAAACCACTCCAAATGACTTTGTTTACATCTCAAATTAAATTATGCAGAAATTTTGAAAAATCAGCAGAATTCCCCTTTTATCCTCCTGTAAACACAACCTTTTTTTGCCTTTCAAACATTGCTATATTTTTCACAACCTGAAATATCATGATGTGACTTTTGTCAATATTGTTGAGCCCAGTTGTATACATATAACAGTACTGAACTGATAAATCAGGCTAAATATGTTCATTATGCTGACAATACGTTTGCTTGCAAAAGTTTGGGCACTCCTGGAATTACATTTTGTTGATTTTCTAATTGAAAATAAGTAAACACAACCTGTACAGAGACACACTTCTGCACTGTTTAATGCACAATTGTTGTTTATTCACTGAATTTAACTGTATTAGATATAAACATGAAATCTGTCTTGTGCAAAAGTTATGGCACATTTTATATTTTATGTTTTTTTTTTTCCCCAATATGCAAATGAATAGAAAATGTGCATTAAATTTGGCAGAAACGTGTCATATTGGAGTTCCCTGTTGAGGATGTGTTAACACCAGGGGTGTTCAAGCTTTTGCATACGACTGTCTGTCTTCAGGAATTACAAGATATGAGTTCTAGAGGCTTTATACCAAGTAAGACGATTGTGTGTTTGTACGTGATAAAGAGAAAGAAAATGTGAGACAATGAGAGAGAGAGAAAGCATCTTTTTTCTTTAAATTCTTTATTTAGCAAACTGACTTAAATCTAAATGAATCATGTTTTATGGTGAGATTAGAAAACAGGAGCTAAAAAGTTAAAAAAAGTGCAAAACATGAACAAATGAGGACTGAATGTGAATAAAGTCTGGTACAGAACCATCAGTTATGCTGTAATGTCATCTTACTTGCCGCTTGTATTTGTCACTTTGCCTTGTCAAATCCTGTGATTAGAAAAGGAAGATTTATTGGCACAAACATTTACTCAAAACGTTTATTCTGCATCACCTCTGACATCTTCATAACTCAGTCATACCGTTTACGTCTAAGTCCATGAAAGTAACACAAAACCTCAGGTCATGTGCAGCGACACTCAAAGGCAGAGACATGTCTGCTGAGCCCCTAACTGTAGTGCTGCACATTCCCCCAGCTGTCTTTGTCAGTCTCTGCCCCCTCTCTCTCTCTACAGCGGTGATCAGATAACCCTGCCGGAGCGAGCCCCTGAGTCAGCAAGCTATAAATACAAAGAGTCGGGCAGTGGGGCCATGCCATGTTCTTTTGGAGCTTGCTCTTCTGGTCACCACAACCTCAGTGAACAGTGCTCAGTACTACCCCTACTCATTAGAGGAAGGGGATCAATACTGAAATATCAGTACTTATGATCCTGTTTCCTTCTAAGAATCAATTCTTACATAAAATACTGATACTAAGTGATTTCTTTAGGCATGAATCTGAATATATGGATTTTTAATGAAAGTGAATTTTTTCTGGTGAAAAAGTAAAAGAGACTTTTTATTTTTCTCTTCTGATCCTCACACACACAATACATACAATAATTTAGGGTTGTTTTACTTTACTTAAAGTCACTTATTCAGCAGTTTATTTAACATTTATGCAAAAACTTTCAAATCTAAATTTAACATTTATACATTCTCCCTATAGGAATCACATAAAATCCCCTTTTTTAAGTGCACAAGAAGGTGTTAAAGACTATTGATTGTGGCGCAGTGGGTAGTGCTGTCAACTAACAGGAAGAAGGGCCTGTGTTCGATTCACTGGCTGGGCGCCGAGGGCCCTTTCTGTGTGGAGTTTGCATGTTCTCCCTGTGTCTGTGTTTCCTCCGGGTACTCTGGTTTCCTCCCACTGTCCAAAGACATGCAGTCAGGCTAACTGGATGTACTGAAATTGCCCCTAGATGTGAGTGTGTATGTCTGTGTGTCTGCCCTGAGGTGAACTGGTGACCTGTTCAGGGTGTTTCCTGCCTTCTGCCCAATGAGTGTGGGACCCATTACCCAGGAGGATAAGCAGCTTAGATAATGTGTGGGATAATGGTATTGGGATCAAGATATTATTCTTGATATTGAAAAAAAAAAAAACTCAGTGGTATTCCTGATCCATACAAGGGTCATTCCATGAACTGCGCACCAGTGGAGTCCACAGTATTATAATGCTATTCAGAGTTTATCAAGCTTCAATATAACAATATAACAATATATATAGATAAGGTCATAACTAACGAAGTGTATTTTTAATTGCAAATGTTTGTAATATAGATAGTCACCAAAGTACATATTTGAAATTCAACCTAAAAACATTTATTTCAAGCTGAAAATGTAGTTAAAAATGTATTAATGTATCTGTCTTTTTTCCACCTTGTCACACCAGCTTGTTTAGCCATAAAAATAATATTCTGTCACATTTTCAGCATTGATAATTTGTTTTTTCTCCACCCATTAAGCATAATGCCCAGTCCGTCAGACAAAAATAAACAGAGAAAATAGTATTTATTATTATTATTGTTGTTGTTATTGTTATTGTTGTAGTTATTGTTATTTTGCCACATTCACTAAAAAGTCAAATAATTAATTATTTAAAAATGCTAAAATTTGCACAAAAATGTAATATTTGTTTGGGGTAAGACTGAAATATGAAACAGAAAATAAGGGGAACAAAAAAAAAAACGAAAAAGAAATCATGAAAAAATGAAAAGGAAAAATCACATGGGCATATCGTGGGAGTTACTCACTCATCATTTTTTGGGTAATAAACAGTATCACCTGGTAGTGGAAGTGAAGCAGGAGTCCTAAATACAAGCCTAAACTGGCGAAATGTTCCGTTAACACGATTCGTGTCATCCAAACCAGTCCACCTATTATTTTGACACGTCTGCGTTCAAAACCGCACACTGCCCTACTTAAACGGCATGTGAAAATAGCGCACCATCATTAGAAGAACATTCACTAGAACTGTAGGTGTAGTGTAGTAGTGTGCGGTTTGGACGCACCCAGCGCCTCCCTCCGCTGCCACATACAGACGCTTGACGTCTGACTTACGTAATTTTCGTATTTCCCTGTCCAGCGTAGTGAACAACGAGGCTCCAAAGTCTACTCAAACACATACACACTCGGGGACATACAGTTTTCTTAAGTTCAGCGCTCTTCCAGCCTGTTTATCTGAGATACATAATCTGCTGTTAAGCCAAAGAGTCTTCGAAAACATGGCAGAGAGTGACTGGGACACAGTGACTGTGCTGAGGAAGAAGGGATCCGCGGCTCAGTCCAAGTCCAAACAGGTTGATAGCTAACCTAGCTACAGCTAGCAAGTTTATTTTGCCAGCTAGCCATGTACCACATGTAGCTATTTCTCTCATTTTTGGCAGCTGCTAGGCCTTTGCAGTTGTTTATTTGATGTTTAATAGCTAATGTCTGTTAGTTCTGCTAAGTTTGCGAGTAATTTTTAGCTACAGCCCACCGAATTTTCTAGTAACTACGCACAAGTCCGCTATGTAGTTAGCTAACGCTAACCTAGCTAGCTAGCTAACCAAACATCTGATGAAATGTTTGCTCGCAGGCTGTAATTGCCGCCCAGAGACGAGGGGAGGATGTTGAGACTACAAAGAAGTGTAAGACACGTGCTTTTCATGTGATTGTTGTAAAGTAAAAATACGTTATATACTGCTCGATCTGTTATCTGTTATCACCCTTCTGTCGCTTTAAAGTCTGCGCTCTTTACAGGGGCTGCTGGGCAGAATAAGCAGCATGTTGTAACCAAGAACACAGCCAAACTGGACAGAGAAACAGAGGAGCTCCATCATGAACGAGTAACTCTGGAAGTGGGCAAAGTCATTCAGAAGGGCCGGCAGGACAAGGGCTTAACTCAGAAGGACCTGGCCACGGTAAGCATTCATACAGGATAGCATATGGAAATAAGGGTGAGATTCACTACGGAGGTCCAGAGAGGCCATGAGGTATATGAGGATAACAAAAGTCGTTTTCTTGAACGCAATCTTGAATCTCAAGAAAACAACTTTTATCTTGAGGTCACAAGATTAAATAAGCTATGATCTTGAGAAAACACCTTTTATCTTGAGATCACTAGATAAAGAAGTCTTGATCTCAAGATAGCAGTCCAGAAAATTATAACTACCCCATGGCCTCTCTAGACTTCTGTAGTTCACTAATAAACGATAAGTATAATTTTCTGCCGTTTTCAGTCTTTGGCTGGGATATGAATTCATGGTAGTGCTGGGCTGATATTGATAAAACACCACAGTATTTTCCAAATATATCACAGTGTCACACAATATTGAAGTTTGCATTCAGAAATGTAATGATCCTCTGCTTCTAGAGTGTGGCTACTATATATTAAAACACTGGCTAACAAACTGGACATGGCTTGTTTTGATCAATCTGTTTTCTTCTGTTGTGCTTCTCTCAACATTACACCAAAGGAACCTTACACAGTAATATAAATGGTATCCCCATTTCCAGAAAGGAATATATATATATTTTTTCATTTTTATTAGATTAAAAAAAAAACAGGAAATAATAAAAAAAAAAACTAAAAACAGACCACTTGGAAACACAAACATGGCATCTGTAAAAACATTAATAGTCATGGATATAATGCTATATATTATGTGTGAAGTACATCTGTAACAACATATCAAAAATGGAAAAGCAAATGTGTGAAATTTCACAATATATCGGTATAGAGAGTATATTGCTCAGCACTGTATTGCACCTTACTGTGGTACCTTATATGAGATGTGAAAGGCTGGTGGAAGTTTCAAACACTTAAGTGACTGACTAAAGAAACAAAAGACTCCTTCAGGCATTTTCAAAGCACCTCACCCAATTACTACATCAGTATAATGTTTGATAGACATATAAATGTAAATTTGTTTTCTTTAGAAAATTAATGAGAAGCCTCAAGTAATCGCAGATTATGAAGCTGGGAAGGCCATCCCCAACAATCAAGTAATGGGAAAGATTGAGAGGGCCATCGGTGAGATTTCATCCTTTATCCTTTGGGCAGATTTTTTTTTTGTTTTTTGAGCTATGAAATATTGCTCCACAAGTTGGTGTATATTATATGTCTGGTTGTTCATTGTCCAATGTTTTGTGGCAAATTGCAGGACTTAAACTGCGAGGAAAAGACATTGGCCTGCCCCTTGATGCAGGGCCCAAGAAGAAATGAGCAAAAAATCCTCGAAATCCACCACTTAGCCTACAGAATCCCCTCACTTTTCAGGCCTTGTAGTCAGTCTTCACATGCTGCTCATTATTCCCTTCCTCCTAACAGTAATAAAAACTAATTTTTCCAGTGGTGGACCAAATGTCACTATATTGACAATTTAAGAATGAAAATCATGTTTCTTTTCTTGCATAGTTTTATGGAGTGCTGCATCACTTGAGAACACTGCTTTTTTTAGTTTTTGAAGACTGAACTGAACTGTCATGTGTTCTTTACATTTTCATGATTTTATGCTTGCTCTCAACTTGAAATAAAACAGATTTTTTGCATTTGACCTAATTGCAAAGTGTAGAGATTTGTTTTCTTTGACAAGAAGTTTCAGGTAGAATTAAACATAGATGTCATTTTACTGAGATTTGCGTTAGGTAGAAAAATCGGAAATGATAACTTAGGAACATTTCGAGGAGTCTTATTTTTATTTTTATTTTTTAAACAAAAATACAGGACTTTTTTTTTTTGTACTTTCATTGCATATAAATGTTTTCACACCTGTGCTTCTGGCTAATTGAAATGCAGTAATTGTGTTGTACAGAGACCAAATCTGCTGTTGTGATGAATAAGAGAACAAGCCTACTTCTCAGGAAATGCATTTATTTCACGTAATATTTTTGGAATTTCACACATTTACTGTTATTGCATTTTAATGCATTTTCCCAAAAAGTTCATAGTCAGTTTAACATTCATGAATGCAAGCTATTTTAAGTCTCATGGTATCATAAATTCAGTTTGAACATGTAAAAAATGCCACTAGCACTTGTAAAAAATACATGAGAGAACAATATGAAAAAAAGACAACTATGTATTACATTAGTAAAAATTGTTACTAAACGCAAGAATTGAATTTTTGCATGTAAGAAATAAATCTTTGTACATTTTTTACAAGGCTTATTTTAATTTAACAAAATGCAGTTTTACTTGTAAAAGTAATTGTTAAAGCTTAATTCATTCTGTTCATTCAGTTAAAATGAAGTGGGAAAAGCCATCATTTCTTTTTAGAGAGAACTGAAATCTTACATACTGTAATGTCATTCTTATGTACTAGTAAAAGTTGAACTTTGACATAATTTTGTACTAGTACTGATAACATTTTAAGTTACGCATTCAAGTTTAGTTTCTGATAGTAACATTTGGAAGCTGAAACGCTTTTCTACAATCCGCTCTGAGTGAGAAACGTTCACACACTCCCGGAACCAAGAATCAGCTCCACATTCCAGACGGACACAGTGGGATCTGCGCGCTGTTGCCACAGGCAGCGCTTGGCGTTGTTGTGCTGCGCGTCTTTCGCTGCTTTTAGCTCCCAGCTGTTCCGTCTAAAATCAGCCGTATAGAAAGGATGGAATATCGGGCTTCTAAAGCCCTGCACTGCGCTCCGCTTCTTTAGGAGCCATACCTCGAAGACGTTTTCTATATATATATATATAACTACAACTCGCGGGCGTAATAACGTTACATGTCTGACTAGCTAGCTACCGTTAGCTGGCGAGCATGGACGGAATTTCTTCGAGACGTTAACGCTGCTCCCCGCGAGTCCATCTGTTTCGAGGATCGACTGAGTGAACATTTCTCTCAACAAGAGGAAAGAAACGTTATGAAGCGGCTGTCTTGGAGTAAATCGCCATTAAATTGCTGACTTATTTGCACTGGGTGTTCACGCGACCCTCTTTTAATGAAAAGCAAACTATCTGAAAGACATAAATCCGTCGACGAACTACGCCAAGCTGGATTTGAGGCTCACAGACAACAGTCCAGTTGAAATACCAGGACAAAACTAACGCACAGCATTGTGCTTCTGAGAGGACAATCGATTAAATTCTCACTATCTGAGCTACAAAACAACACACATCTACAGTTATTTAGGAGCCACTGAATGTTTCTGTCAGCCAAAACAATGAAACAGTGTGGTCGTAAACACAATGTCGTGATCGAGCCCAGGAGGACGTCCTGAGATGTTTGACCAAGAGGAGGACTGCAGCTGTTTCGCCACCGAGGGTCTATAATGACGGAGAGATGTCCTTTAGCCGAGAAGGCGATGTCAGAGGGCTTTGCTCGGCTCAGGTTCAGAGACACTTCCCTGCTAATCTGGCAGCAGCAGCAGCTGGAGCTCGAAAAGGCGCCGCCGTCTAACTACCTGAGCCGCAGCCAGAGCAGTTGGTACAGCCGCTACGGCAACCAGGCGGTCGTGGTGCGGGACAGAAACACACTAAGAGACCCCGAAAGTGGCTCCCGAGTTTGCTCTGTTATGTAACAGTATTACAGATTTTTTTATTACACTAATCCCCGTCTAGATTGTGATCTGTGTTTATAGGGTTGCTTCATATTTTGTAGACAGTGAACAAGCACACCTGGCGGATCTCTTAGGGGTGTAGCGATACACATTTTCAGTGTCGATACAATTTTCACTTCTGAGGTCAAAATTCGTATTTTATGGTAATTTTTTTTTACCTTTTACATACTGTATGGAAATTGTTACAACCTTAGTAGCCCAGGTATTAAAGGGGAATTAAATCACAATGATACATTATAGAGAAACTTAATGAATTACTTTACAATGGTGGTGGTAGTTATAATGTAGCGTAGGCCATCAGCCAAGACGTTTGTCCAGATTTTGCTTTAGTTTTAAGAGTTATGAGGGCCACAAACGCTAATGTTGCTAACAAACACTAGAAGTAAATGGTCACCCAAATCCTTTATGTAAATACAACCCTGAAACTCCTGTCCACCTACTCCAACTACCTTCAGGTCTCCAGTAAGGTTGCTCAGACTTGTCGATGTGGTTTAGGAGACAGTGTGACTTACTGTTAGCTACTTAAAAAAAATGAACAAAACTAAAAAATTGCTGTGTGTCGCATTACAGTGAAGGTTTGTTTAAGTCATACTGTGCCCTAAATCACATTGAGAAGGATGCATGACCTTAATGAAGAGGTGGAAGAGCCTTGAGAGATGTTTTGGGGATGTATTTACTGCAAAGATTTGACTTACTGTGAACCATAAAAAATGAGCAACACTTCATGTCACTGAACATAGCAGGGACGCATGTTGAAGGTTTGTTCAGGCAGCCATAATAATGACCTGGATGCTGTTTGAACATGTTGAGAGAAGTTTTAGGGATGTATTTACAGAAACATTTCAGTGACTACTGACTTCTGGTGTTCGTTAACAATTTTAGCCTTGCAGCTCCGAAACTAAAGAAGCTAAATTTGGACACCAAACATGTCTTGGCTGAACATCTACTTTCTGGGGCAAGTGGAAAACAGCCAAACCAGTAGTTATAATGCTTCAGACGTCTGGTTCCTATCACCACCACTGTGCACAATTCTTACTGTGTATTTTTGTCTGTAACAGAATTTCACATCAAACGTCTTTGAATGACTTTGTTTACTTCTTAACCATTTAATTATGCAGACATTTTTCAAAATCAGTGGATTTCCCGTTTAAAGTTCCAGTACGTATGACATTTTAACTGGCTGTTTGCACTTATTGTAGTGCTGTAAGATCCTGGATGAGAGCTGGCTTCACAGTCAAAATAATGAACTTTAGCTTGAAATGAATGTGAAATTTGAATAGACATCAGCGGTACTTTTTGGCAGCTGTGTTTCATGACCTTAATGCAGTATTTAACCCAATATAAGTATTGGACACCCTCAATATATGAAATAAAAGTATCTAGTGAGTGAACAGACACCATGGTGGATTTTTGTGATTTATTTACGAAAAAACAAGGGGGCTCAGAGTCCAAATTCCGAATTAGCTTATACATCAGTTTATCTGTACGCCTAAGTCTGTCTGAAAACCAAGCTACAAACTTCCATTAACTCGCTGCACTTATATGGAGCTCTACTAAGATTGACGTTTTACTTCAAAGAATGACATTTACATGTTATAAACAGCTCAAAAAGGTTTAAGAAAGATACTGTAAATCAGCATGCAATACACAAAGGTTTTCGCTCTCATAAAAAAGAACTAAAATATTTAGACCCAAGACGTGTTAACGAATAAGTAATGAATATACATTTATATCTGTAATTATATAGCCTATATATTTATATTTCAGTTCTTTTAACTTTGCTGACATCACACAAGAAAACCCTTTTTTCTTTTAGTGGACTGGAGGAGTTGTTTAAAAAAATAAGGAAAACAAAAAACTCTTTCTGAAAGACATTATCCGTCTGATGAACTGATCGGCCAAACTGGATTACAGCCTCACACAAAGAGATAATGACTTAACATTTAACAATCCAACGGAAATAACGGGAGAGAAGCAACACACATTCTACTACTGAGAGGAAAACCTACGAAAAATTCACTTTACAAGTCTTGACATCTGTTTCAATGTTATCTGAGCTACAAAAGGAAAACAAAAAAGGTAAACAAGCCTGACATACAGGTTCCAACTCAAATCTACAATTGTTTAGAGCAGACCCAGTTATTTTAGTGTGCCAACTAAACTTAAGGCAACAAGTACACATCCACTGTATTTGGGACACAAGGTGGGGCTCAAAGCATTGAAAATGTATGTAACCCATGCCGATGCCAACACCAGGGTGGCATCCCTACTGCAAAAAGAAGGAAATGACCTCTACTACATTCATTATGTTATAGAGTTTACCAGTCAGTTGACCAATTCAGGGACATGGTGAGAAAATATTCCAGCACGTTCTGTGAAGCATTTAAGTACCACTCAAAGCATTTAATACAGTATTCCAAAAGAGATGAAGTCATTAAAAAAGATATTAATAAAATAGAGAAAATACATTAGCTGTAATACTTTGGAAATCACTAAACATAAGCTTCTGTTTTTTTAATTAATGCCTAGTACTGCTGATTGAAGCATTAATAGGAGAACATCATCTTTCTTCGACTAGCAGACTGCAGAAGGCCAGAGAGTTGTAGTCTGAAGTTCGTCAGAGCCAGACGAGAGCCAATTACGCTCATATTATAAATAATACATTTTAGTCACCACTGTCTTTGATTGTTCATTGATTGGACTTGAGAAAGATGACGTATTCTAGAACAAGGCTTATATCATGGGCATATATCATAATGAACTATATCATTAGTGACATAAAAAAGGTTGAGTACTCAAAGACAAATCAAATATAAAAACAAACAAACCCATTTGAACGTATAATATAGTTTAAAAACAATATGTGACAAAATTATACATCAAATACTAACAATGAGAGACAAGCACGGAAGAAAAAAAATTACAGCGCTGAAGTAACCGAAACTACTGTGGATTACACATAGGCCTCTCAAAGTACGGGTTCCAACACTATACTGACACTTAGGGAGACAGACGCAGCCCACGGTACGGCATCTTCCGTTCAGTCCGCTTAGTCATGATGAAGCAAATTTCGATAGAGAATTCAACTGACGTCTTGATACAGCTGTAAGTCAAAAACAGTGGGAAAAAAAGAAACAAGAGCTGCGCCTCACTAGATGAAAAATAAATAAGTCTTCTTTAAAAACGGTAACAATAAGTATCATTACCTGTAAAATAAATCTGGAATGAGCTGAAACGTCATGCTAACATGACCACCACACCAGAAAAAAGTTAGTTGCTTGTTCCTTCAGACTTTGAGACTTGATGAAGCTACTCACTGATACAGAGCCAAGCATTTTACCAGTTTGTCCATTAATATGCGTTTTTCATTTGGCTCTAATGAGCAACCACCTGGAAAAACGAACGGAACTCCTATACACAACTGTTTTGATCTCCACAACTGACATGTTCGAAAACAAAAAAATATATATATATCTTTTTTTTTTTTTTACTTTTTTTTTTGTTTGTTTTTAACTGGTGATACCAGGTGTTTCCCTTTGAGGGCCAGCAAAATAAACCTCGACACTGTTCCACCATCAGCTATCTTTTTCCACTCTTTTCTTTGTCCAAGCCAAGGGCGTTCTACAACAGATTCTTTTAAAATATCCTCTTGTCTTTAGCGATGCTTCTAACTCTTTTATGTAACAGGTCTTCGAGTAAGACACTATCATGACAGCACACACTACTCATTAGAAAATGCAGGAGGCTGAAGTAAGGGGGGGACAGGCTGACCGAAAGCTCAGTCTGAGTCGCTGCTCTCGGAGCTGGAGCCGCTGGAGCTGCTGCTGCCCGAGTCAGAAGAACTGCTGCTGCCGCTCAGCCGAGACGGCCCGCCCCCTGGCGCTGACCCCGCCTTCTCTGCTGGACACAAGAGGCGGAGATTAGCACAATAGAGACGGCACAGAAAACTCGTATTTCATATTCATATTCACTGAAAATAAAAAGTCCTTAAATTAGTGATTTTAGGTCCCTCAAGAAGCACCATTAAGCCCTGTTCCCTTGCCCACCCACGTGACTGTATGTTAAGACAGAATAGACATGCACACAGAGCAAAGCATTAATCATGACAGAACAGAACAAACAGTATGGCGCGCCCTTCAAGCAGCCAGAGACACTGAGTCAGTACGAGTTGCATCAAGACACATACAGGCCACACTCATCCAGGCTGATGGCTGCTCTAAACTTCTCTTCTACCTCTTGTCCTGTCTAATCTTACTGTCCCTTTAGGAATTGGCAAATCAGTAATATTTGGAATCAGTAAGGAAGGGGTCGACTATAGCCCTCAAGTTATAACATAAACCCAGTTATACATAAATAATGAAAGGAACGCAGAAAAAAACCCTGCGGTCTATCCTCCTGCCTGACCTGCCCGTTTCCGAGCACCTGCCCACTTCTATCCGCACACTGCCACACAGGTACCTTTTTTGGGCGGTTTCTTGTTGTTGTTCAGTTGTCCGCTCACGTCCTGCAGCCTCTTTTCTAACTCTTTCTTCTTTTCCTGAACCAGTTCCTCTTTAGTCTTGGCACTCTTTTTCCCAGTGCCCGCTGCAGGAGACACACAGCGGCGACCAGTGAGTCCCAGGTCAGCCTCGCACACCGCCGCCGTGGCAACAAGCAGCAAAAAGCACTCTGCTACTCTGTAACTGTGTTATTCATCTACTGAATTGCATCTAATCTCTAGGTTATCTATCAATGAACTAATGCATACTAGTGTTTTAACTATGATGTAACTCATTCTATACAACAGGCCACTAATAAGAACAATGCTAATAATTGGCAGGCTAATAAAAGGCCAATAAATCTTTTCTTTGAGGTTAGTTCAAATAAATGTAAGAAAACATTTACTAAACACTGATGCTTTAATTAAACCATTGGTGGTTCATACGAGGGGGAAAGGGTGTTAATCTAAATAAAAAGTGGAGAGGTAATCCACCAAAGACCCATGCAACACAGCGGAAAGGGGAGTGCTCCCAGCACAGGCGTGGGAATACTGCGGGCCAAATTAGCTTTCAGAGCACTGTCAGCAGCCAGACAGGAGAGTTTTGTCTGCAGCGGAAAACCGAGCTCAGGTCAGAGAGAGAGAGAGACAACACACAATCTGAGCGAGACCCAAGGTGGAACTTACGTAAAGGTTTGCGTTGCTTCTTCTGTAAACAGGACTTGACGTAGCGCTCCAGCTCACGCAGGGTGGAGGGCTTGAGCGTCTCGAAATCGATCTCGATCTCGTCCGGGTTGGAGTCACGCAGTGACGGTTCGCGGGACTGGATGATGTGCACCACCCGACCCAGTTTTTCGCCCGGCAGTCGGTTGATGTCCAGGCTGAGCTGCCTTTTCTCATCGTATGACATGGGAAGAGCCTCCTCTTCATCCGACTCATAGTTTGCTGCACTGGGTTTGCCACCCTTTTTCGGCTGCCTGTGGGATTAAATGTTCAGTTGAGCTTTGACCCTGAATTATTGCAACCGAAAAACAACATCTTAGTTTAAGAGAAAGGGAAAACGTGTGCAGTACGCAGTGGTCAAAAAATTCACCATTTGGTACATATTCAGTCAAGTTAAGATGCTAAATAAGTATTTAACAACTGAACTGATTTAACCCCTTAAACTTTAGGGTTATTATTCAGTTATTAACTTTCAATGGGCCCTCCAGCCAAAAAATCTAGCCCTTTTTATAAAGAATTTAATTTGCAGCGAATATGCCTAGCTGCCTCCTACAGTGGGGCCACAGTAGTATCCAGTGCAAGATCTTCCAGTTTATACTAGTAAAATTTCTTATGATGATATCTTGAAGGCCGGAGGAACTACAGAAAACTATACTTTCAGATGGATGGTTGTTTTGAAAAGTGTTTTTTTTTTAGGCAGCTGGCTAATGCAGACGAAGCGTTCTGCTAGGAAGCCAAATATCATGTCCGTGTACAGTATTAGCAGCCAGAATTTCTTTATCAGTGTGGTGGAGATTCCCAATGGTTGTTTCACGTATTATGAAATATACATGCTGTGTACTGTAACAAGAGAAACTTGATGGATGAAAACATTATATGCTACAGAAAACTGCATATCATAAGTAACATAATAAATAAAGTTTTTGGTTGAATGTCTTATTACACAGGCTTATTACACAGTAACTACTATAAATTAAACTTTCATGAAAAGAACATGTACTCTATAGTTACGAGAGTAAGGAACTGAAGTATGGGTGAACACACAGGCCCTTAGAGTTTAAGGGCTTAACAAAGAGCACCAAATAAGAAAAGCATAAAATAAAGCCTGACTTATCAAAGCCATATTCCAGGCGACCTTCCTCAGCGCTCCACCTTACCTGGTAGTGGATGTGCTGTTGGGTTTCCTGGCTGAACTCTTTTTCTGCTGAGTTGGCTTGTTCTGCTGTGACGACTTGGGTTTCTTCTCCTCCTCCACCTTGGCCTTGCTTTTATCTTTGTCCTTCTCTTTGTCTTTCTTCTTCTTCTCCTTTTCTTTCTTCTCTTTCTTCTTCTTTGGCTTGCTGACGGGGCCCTGTGACAGAGCAGCCAGCTGTTCGTGAACAGCCTTCAGCTGGGGAGAGAGGGGAACAGGGCCGGTTAGCTAGTGGGAGGACAGGGGCCGACTGCGCTGCTGCTACAGGCCGGAAGGAGGATTTTAGCTGTGCAGGGATTGATGGCAAGACCAAGTGATGAGGGAAGTAGCCATTTAAAGAAAATGAATGACATTTAACTTTACCATATATTCAATTTTTCTACAGTATTACTGCCCCAAAGCAATAAGGATGAAGTATGAAGAAGTCATTCTTATGCAGCAATTAAAGTGATACTCCAATGTTTTGCAGCCAAATAAAAACTTCAGTTTCAGTTTTATAAACAACATGTTTTGGTTACTCTTTTTGTGAAATATGTGCTTCTGAAGTAATACATGACTTCCCACAGGCTTTTGCCAGGCACAGAGCAAAGCAGTAAAACTGCTAGTAGAAACTCCAATGATTTCCATCCTATGGTAAAACATCACAAGAAAGTGATGCATTTCAACCTGCTGTTGAAATTGCAACCTGTTGTTATTTGTATGCCGTGACATGCACACTACACAAGCGACTGCAGACGAGGCTCACATACTACATGATCCTTCACCTGGTCAGATTCCTGATGACCTTAAATCTCACTGTCTCCTGGAAATAAATGCCTATTATGTGTCAAACTGGAGCTTGAGAAACTTGCTGTAGTTGTTTCTGTACTAATTTGTGCAGAAACAATAAAAACTATTTTTAATCATTTTCAAACAAGTGCTCTTTCCACAGACCTAAAGCCCCCTGGGTCCGTACAGCATGCGAGCAGCTGTGAATATTCACTCAGAAGCTTCTGCAAAACTGCATCTGTAGCTGCATCCTTGATCAAATTTGTGGCTTTTATCTTTAATACACTCTTCACCATGACTGTTATTGTACTTGCTTGCAGCTCACTTTCTCACACTCTGATTGCCCCTCACGGTTCCCATTACTTGTCGTGTACGTGTTCACGCTACATAATTTACTGCTAAGCATTTCAAACATGCTTAAAAATCATGTTGCTGAACCGGTCACACTATACAAGCAGTCATCACAGGTGCCTACACCAATTTGTCACAAAATCACAAAACTGGAAAATCGAGAGGGGAAATTTTATCATGGGTGCTCGCCTTTAGGCGTAAGATCATAGGTAATTGAAACAGAATATTAGCTATTTAGCTACTGGGTCAACAATGACATAAAAATGTTCAAGAAAGTCGGTACCGTATTCATGTGATTAAGCCCCTGACATGTTGCTGAACTGTTTTTTGCAGTTGTATCACTGAAAGATCATTTCAAACCCAAAACTGGATCTAGTTCTATTCCTCATGGAAGCCTGTGGGAGGTCATTTTTGTACCAAATCTTCCTTTGGAAGATCATTTTGAAAATGTATAATAATAGTGAACACAAAAAAATGAAAATGTAGTGGACAAAACTACTTTTGAGGAAACACACTGGACTATTCCTTTAACTGGCAACATTCAGTTCTTTCTCCCACTCATATATTAACTGGCTGTCCATCCCTAATCCAAACACCACTTAAAATAAAATAAAAAATAAAATTAAAAAATAAAAAAAACTTTGTGAATCGTGATACCTTTCAAAGTAAAAGAAAAAAAAAACACCACCCCAGAAAACATGCCAATCAATGTCATTCAGCAGATCGTAGAGCAGAGCAGGAAGCAGAACGAAAAGGCAAGCTGAGTGGCAAAGCAGGCTCACTGAGGGAGATGACTGCCCAGCTCAATTATAGGTACGATCTTAACCCTCTACCGCTCACTTAACCAGGTGCTAACAAAAAAATGGAGGGGTTAGTGGGGAGGTGGGGACGGGGAAGTAAAAACATAAATCACCTGAAAACGTTTGGCACACCCGTTTTTTTCCCCCGCCCTGTTACCCTTCGGGTGCTCCTTAGTGATTTGCTGGTACAGCCAAAGTGGGATAAAAAAAATAAGTCATTCTCAAAAATATACATGTATTTTAAAAAACGTTAGAATATTATCACAACAAAATACGTCAAGACCAGAAAAAAAGCATACAACTAACACGAACAGTTACTGATTTGGAAAAAATCAGTTTGATATTGTAATGCATGCAACCCAATGTACCAAGATGCCAACAATTAATGCAGAGGCGGTAGAGGGTTAAACTACCAGTCCTGGGTCAAAATGGGCAGTTTAAAAAAAACATTAAAAAAAGAAAAAGAAACAAACTGTCCAATGGCTCTTACACGGTGAGTTGAGGGTGGGTAAGTAGAGGGTAAGACTGGGTGGGTGGGACTTCAGCCTGTCCCTCCACCCCTGCTTTGGATCTTGGTCGTGAGTGGTGGCACCCACCTGCGAGACACTCACCTGTTCCTGCAGTTCAGCAAGGCGGGTGGCGCGCTCCTCCTCCGAGTCGGAGCTAGAGCTGGATGAATCAGCGCTGCTCTCGCTGCTGCCCGTGCTCTTGCTCACGACCGCTGTGGCCGAGCCCGCTCCAGGGGACGATGGCTCAGCGGGCTCATCCGGCATTTTAGCAAAGCGCATCTCGAACACATCCTGTCAGGAGAGCAATAGATTAGTTAGATGGACACTGTTTAGGGTCAGCGAGAGGAACTGAAATAGCAGACAGGTAATACTATTGATGGGTGTGGTTACTGTAAAACTGGACATCTTCATACGTCACATGTGGTCACATCTAAGCAGAGCAGCATATGAAACTATCTTATGAAAAATTGGGGGCTGTCAAAGTTAATGTTATAACACAATAAATTAATTTACACATTTTCCTAGTTTTACCCTTCCAATCATCCTCAGTTGAAGCCCAGCTGTAACTTGGTATTATTGACTCTATGACTGTAGCACTTGCATTAAAATACAGCTATTAAATGGCAAGTTCCACTAATGATTCTCTAGATAAAAGTTTTTTCTAACAACTGCCATTAAAGGTGAGCAACATGACAATGTTTTATTGTTCTACATTATGCTATCGTTTCTCAGCATATCATGGATTTTGTCAGTATTTAAACAACACTGACGAACTGCATGTTTTATTTCAAAGAGCATACTTTGTTGTTTTGGACTGGATTTTTAGTGCAGTACAGTGTGTGAAACACTGAACAAACATCATTGTAGTTTTTGATGGCAGTTTCTAAAAAAAATGAAATGAAAAAGAAAGGGGCGTAGGGACTCTACTGAAATTTGCATGGTACAAGCTGCGACTCTGGCAACTAGTACGCTACACATGACTTAGACATGGCTATCGGGCACAGACCACTTCTGATGCAAGCAGCACACAATAAACTAAAAGTTAAACTTTCTGGATTCTCCTTTCTTAATGCATAACAGTATATATTTTATCATCATTTAAACACTGAATTAAAAAACATGAATATCTGAATAGCAAAAATTGTTAAAGTGCCCATTGCTACTTCTCACCTGAAGCTTCCTCGCCATGGCTACGACTTCGTGATCAGGCGGATTGTATTTGTAGCAATTTGAGAACATTAACCGGACATCAGCCGCGAAGCTCTGGGCATCTGGGTACTCTCTGCCATCCATCTTTTTCTGAAAGAGCACATAGCATGTAAGGCAACTTCTAAAATCCCTGTAATTATTACTACTGTAAAACTGCACGACATCTTAATGTCTGCCTATTGAGAGGAAATCAAAATTATTATTCAATCAGAATAGACAGGTTTGCTGATGATGAAAGCGTGAGCCGTACTTTGACCGTGCTGAGATCCATGGGTTGCTTGATGATTTCATGGTAATCATGCAGCTCCAGAGCCTCTGCATCCACTGGCTTGTAGAACGGCCAGGCGTACGCCGCATGCTTCTTAGACAGCATCTCCTTTAGGATGGTGTCGCAGTATTTGAGATGGTCGCTGAGTTTGCCCTTCTTGTTGCCCTGCTGGAGCAGCTCATTGTCTTCCAGGTCCTTCTTGGGGGGTTTGATGGGCCGGCCAGTGCTCTCGCGCCTGGAGATGACCTTACCGTGTTTGGACTCCAGCATGCCGGTAGGAGATTCACCTCTGCTGGCAGTGATGGCGCAGGTGGTGGGCGTAGTGGTGTCTGCTTTCCGCTTCACCCCCTTCTTCTGGAACCAAACATAATGACACCCAAGACATCTCATTATCACAAATTTTATGAATTTGAAACTGCACAGGAAAGAGCAAAACACCCATTAAAGTTTAAAATGCAAGCGAAAAATACGCCCCTGCATTGGTAAGAACATTTCATATGCTCTGTTTTACACTGCCTGTCAGAGAGGATATGTGAAATATGGTTTTAGAGACTATGTGGACACCAGAGTTTCCTGTGGTTAACATTAATCAATACCACATTTTTAAGAAGACACTGGGTCATTCAGCAATGTAATGAATGGTGTAAGTAAAACAAAGCACTTTTTAATTAGAAGTTAAAGACAGATCTAAACTAATTTCTAAATCTATTACAAAAATGCCCTCATAAAAGGTCAAAACATCTTCTGAAAATCCAGTGCAGGGGAAAAACTACGCTTTGATAAAATTAATTACATTTCGAATAGTGATTTGAAGCACAGTCAACAGAGGAGCTTCCTGTTACAATGCAAAACATTCCTGCTTCCACATCTCAGGTGAAGGTCTTACTTTGACGACGGGCTGTGCGCTCGGGAGCATGGACGCAGCAGGAGGCACAGCTTGGACGTTGGAGGTGATGGTTGGCACAGGCGTGGCTGCTATTACAGGAGTCTGGGGCAGCTGTGGAGGGGAGCTCGGACACGACGAGGACGGGGAAGCAGAGGACATCGCCAAAGCTTGCTGATTTTCTGTCAAATTACAGGAAAAAAAAAAGGGAAGGCATAATGATTCCACCAGAACTAGACATGACTCCGACTCGATACTGGGCAAAAATACTGAATCGGGTATTAGAAAGACAATAGAATGAATATAATCCAATCCTACAACGAATCTATCCTGAAATAGCACACAATTACAATTACATAGTGTGATGCTGTCAGCTGGGTATTTCTTCCTGTGGGGTAGAGGAGTGTTCGAGTAGTTTCAGCTACCTTTAAATGCTCATCTGAAGTGAAATGTTTTAATTAAAAATAGATCATTTTAAAGCTTAGTAGGTTTTTAGGAACAAATATCACTCTCGTATCGGTATTGGCCGATACTGCAGGCTTCTACAGCGGTATCTATCTCAGTATTAGAAAAGAAAAAAGCTTGGATTGTGTCATTGACATTGAATGTGGTGGTGTGGGTTAATCCTGGCCAACGAAAAAGTAGCTGTTTCTGTCGTTTTATCTACACAATTGAATGATTTAACATGATTTCTGAGTGCTGCTGACACATGTATTTGATGTTTAAAGGACCTGATCTAACAAAGACAAAAATTCAGAGATTTTTATTCAGTTCAGGTTTATGAACTGGAATACACCATCTCCACCATCTCCAACCAAAACTAATTATTTTCAGCTAATTGTGGGTATGGAAAACAGACTTCAGCTAAAATTAATGTAGTGCTGTAGGCTTAACTTTTGAAAACGTTTCATTATTGGAAAATAGGTGAGGGAAATCAGTAGGTTTTCATTCTGATTGAGTAATAGAGAAATAAGCTACTGAGCTAAACTACAGCTAAAACCTGATTTCAGTATTTGAACAGTGGCAACTTGAATGTTTAACTGAGCACTCGAGCACTTCCTTGTAATAATACACTGTAAAAATGTGACAATGTGCAAAGTGGAGACGGTCGATATTAGTTATGTACTATTAGTTGGTGGAAGCTGAGCAGGTGGAAAATATTTCCCAAACTCTGGAAAACTTTATAATATTTGAATATTATGAATGCAACCTCGATGTGTTTTAAAATCTAAAACAAAATTCTTTTTAGGTTGGTACACAACCAGTGTGTTGGGTCCTTTTTTTCTTCTTGTAATTTGTAATGTTGCTGTGATTTCATTTAGATCCAGGTATTTTATTTTTCCAATGTGTACCTATGCATAAAACAATTACAGACTGTAATAAAAAAGTCATATGTAAATGGAAAAGTACTATTATTATTACTACTATTATTACTGCTACTATTAATTGCGCTATGAAATGCAACTGCTTTGCCTGAACACCAAATGTCGCAATCTGCCTAATCACATGAGCCCCCCACCCCCCACCAAAAAATAAGAAAAAATTTCAGCATTTAGATCCAGAGTTTTCTGTGTGTTACTGCGTTTTCTATCACTATATAAAATTTTCACCAGACGCTCATTCAGAAAAAATTCTGGACTGGGAAACGCTTATTACTAATTCATTTAATCAGAGCAAAGACTGACGTGTGATTTATATTCCAGTTCATAAACCTGAACTGAATAAAAATCTCTGAATTTTTGTCTTTGTTAGATCGGGTCCTTTAAACCTCAAATACATGTGTCAGCAGCACTCAGAAATCATGCTAAATCATTTCAATTGTGTAGATAAAACAACAGAAACAGCTACTTTTTGCGTTGGCCAGGATTAACCCTCACCACCACATTCAATGTCAATGACTAATCAGCCAATATTTTTATTTGAATTTTGGCCAATCTCTGGTGCAATTTTCTGATGTAAATAAGATGAGCCGTATAAGTACACTCACACTGTTCATTTGAATGCTGTCACACCTTTACAAAAATGTAGCATAATTATACATGACTCACTGTGATAAACAGGTTCTGTTTGGCAGATTAATATAATAATTAGTATAATTAAGAATTTACAATACCAGTTTAGCCTGTTAAACATCAAATAACATTATTAACTTTGACCTTTGACTAATAAATACTTCTTGAAATGTACTAGTGTGTCATTGTTCATTTAACCCACATAGTGTGAGATTCAGGTTTAAAAAAACAAAAAAAAACAACAAAAAAAAACAACAACAAAAAGAAAAAAAAAACAAAACAAAAAAAAACCATCAAAATCAGCCAGAAATCGGACTGGGCTGTAAAACGTCACAATCGATCCCTCCCTAGAATCCAGTATCATGAATGGAATCGACACGCCTCAATTACCCCCCCCTTTCTATCTCCAGATATCTTTGGAAGGTTTACCTGAGCTAGGGGGTGGCCCAGGCTTGCGTGCTTTGCCTTTTGGAGGTGGTGGCAGTAGTTCCACCTCCTCCTGGGGCATCTGTGCTACCTTCTGGAGGAAAATCTTTTCCAAGGCTTGAGCCATGAGGACAATATCATCCGTAGGCTGAAACAAGAAGGTACAGACATTCTATAAGTAACAAAGCAGTGAGCACTGTGAAATATTGCATGTTTTCCTGAGAATACACTGATGCGGATGGAACACACTGTGTCTAAATGAGACAAAAAATTAGTAAGTGGTCTATTTCCCTTTACCTTGTTATAGATATAACAGTTTGTGAACATAGTGTTGAAATCCTGCATGCATTCACCAGCTGTCCAGTAGTAATTATTCTCAAGTCTCTTCTTGATTGTTCCCATATCCATTGGGTTCTTGATGACTTTATGGTAGTCCTTCATAATAACAAGACACGTTTTAGCTCACACACTTACAAACAATGATAAAAGCAATAGGAAAAACAGTGATTTGAATGGCTTGAAGTAAACAACGGGCCTCACGCCCAGGTTTAACTTACTGGAAGGTTCAACTTGATGGCATCCACAGGTGTGTAGAAGGGCCATGCGAACTGATGCCTCCATAAAGTCTTCACCACCACATTCTGCATGTACTGTAGCTGGTTGGTTTTTCGGCCAGGCTTATTGGGGTTTGTAACTTCAGGCGGAGGAGGGTTGACGATAGGGGGAGGAGCCTGGCTGGGAGACGTGACCGCCGACATTCTGAACAGCGGACAGGAAGAAGTCGCTTGACTGACGTCTGGGGATCTATGAACTTAGTGACTGTGTTCCTCTTTCTTCTCCTTACTCCCTCCTTGATACGCACATCCCATTTCAGGACCTGAGTGTCAGCACGCTGCCAGAAAACACCAAGAACTCTGCGTTACTGAATGTACTCAATGTGACACAGAAACAGAACTGTGGGGTACTGACAAAACTCAATATCATAAGGTTTTTCAAATATACTAAGTATCAGATAACATCTAAGTGTAATAAAGTTAATGGTACTCTACACTGAATGTCTTACAAACCTGCTTTTGTTCTCTTGGTTCTCTTAGAATTGTACCAAAGGGAACCTTACACAGTATTAACCAGACAGAAAACAAGTTTTCTTACTATTTATTTAGTGTTTTATGCATTTTGAATGTACTCAGCAAATAATATACATTATGGTTTAAGTTTTCTTTTACGCATCAATATCACTGCGACGAAAAATGAGTACTATGTGCAACAGTAATACAGGTATGGATGACATCACTAAGCACTACCTTCTGCTGTTCGTAAATACATGAGTAAAAAAATAAAAATCCAAGTTAACAGCCTTAATTTTTCACCAAGATGCTGATCAATGATAAATCTACCATTCAGATGTTCCCAGGCGTACCGTAGCCTTAGCTCTGGACTAAACTGGTATGTGCTTAAAAATCCCTTTAAGTCTAGAATTAGGATCAGCCTTCAGATCCCCACACCAGCACATAAAATGTGCCTTCATAAAAAATATTTTAACACTTTGCTAGCCGCTTCTGACTGGTGGGTGTGCCATCAACACAATGAGACCCAGGTAAACACCACTTGTTTGCGGGATTGAGCAGCTGGACCGTACTGGTGACCAGTGATCAGTCTGCTATGTTGCAAAACTTGATTTCAAATTTTAAAAAAATTGGATGTATCTGGAGAATAAAGTTGTCCAGATGTCATAACCGCATTAAGAAGGTTGATCAGAGACTCCACAGAACTGATTCGTGTACTTGTACAGTAGCAGACGAAGTTAAAAGTCAGCTTCTTGTTCGAATTTTCCCGTTCCACCTTAAATGGTGCAGCTACATGCAGCCCGACTGAGGCACCATTTAAGGTGGAACGGGAAAATTCGAACAAGAAGCTGGCGGATAGAAAGCCAACTTCAGCCTCGTCAGTAACACTTCATCACAAGAAAAACGCCCAAGTTTAAAAAAACAAAACAACTAAAAACAAAACGCTCTCAGTAAACAGTAAAGCCACGTGAATCTGATTGGCTTACGGAGAATAAAACGAGATCGCGGACATTCGGGAGCATTTTTTAATCAAAAATTCACCGCATTGAAACGATCTCGACTACAAGCGAAGGAAGCAACCGAGGTGAACTTCTTTAAAAAGATGGCGGGCTACGGTAAAGATGTGCATCGAGCGTGGAAACGCCGCGGATCCCTCCTCAGAGCTCTCGGAGCTAGCGCTCTGTGGCTAACCGGAGCCTCCATATCTTTTTTCCACAACGATAGCCATTGTGTGCATGCCGTGCAACCAGCTAGCTAGTTAGCGGGCCAATTTGAAAATCTACCGATCGTGCTGCACACTCGACAAACAGAGATCAAACCCGCAGAGTTAGGAACGCCTTCTAATCCGATCTACATTTCCGAAACGGAAAAGCGACGAGAGAGGAAAATAGAGCCCGCTTTGTTATATTGTTGTAGAGCGCGGTGCATCAGCTCCACTGTGTGAGAGGAGGCGAGCTGTGGTGGCTACACTCAGCTGTGTATTCCCGAAAAAAGAATCAATATGCGCTGAAAATAAACTTCAATCGGAAAGATCGAAAAGCGCTAATCGTAAATAGGTATGTTACACTTTTATTACTTTCACTCCAAGCAGCTCCGGCAGCGTTTTCCTTGCAGATTTTCGGGTAGCTTTTATTGCAGCGAAGGAGCATAATAGACGGCTGGGGTCGACACTAGTTGGTTAGTGTTTTGCCCATGCGCACTGTCGCACTGTATTGTGGTCCTGACTGGTAGTGCTTTGCTTGTGATGAGAGCGGAGGACGACAGGGGGCGCTCTGATACAACAACCCAGGCCCTTCCAATGAACAGATTTATTTATTTATTCATTATTACGTTTATTTTACGATGCTTTTTCTATGATGCATACAAAATTACAATCATGGAAAACTATATTAAATATAAATTCGAAACATAAATAGTCGACAACAGTCAGTAAACAAAAACAACAAACGTTGACAACACATTTCTTTTCAGTCTTCCATCAAACTTAAATCTTTAAGATACGTCCTAGAGGAAAGAGCTTGTTTATTGCTTAGACATTTAAGATACTCAACAAATTAATTTAATTAAACTAAGAAAACTCTCGGACATGGTTAACATTTATCATATTTTTCCTAAAGTTTTATATGTACTCTGTATCTAGATTAAAAATAATCAGACAAATCTTTCCAAAAGAATAAAATAATAATATATATGGTCCACTTTTTCTGGGTCTTTTGTGCAAAATGAGCAATTCTGATCTGTAAATATGAAAATATTACAATTACACTGATAATTGCTGTACAAGATTTTTGATTGTGCATCTCAAATTTTATTAGAGATGCAAAACATCATTTTCACCTAAGCGTCCCTTTAAGACCCCTCTGTTGTTTTTGTTTTCTTCACTGTGTTTTGAATGCGCATCTCAACGTTTACATCTCAGGTTCATCTATAAGGAGAAGTTGCAGAAATCTAGACCCTTATATAGTTTTGCCCCTGAATATGTGCTTCCTTGGGAACACACCGATCCTACATCGGCTCTTATCAAGAGTTGTAGCATCACAATTTTGTGCTGTCCATTCTTTTTGTCCGATAGCTGAGTAAATAAGGGGAGAAACATGTAACGTAGGCATTTTTACAGTCTGAATACTGCCGCTGGCTGTTCCGGTTACCGCGCATGCGCCGAACAGACTTCAAACGTAGCTGTTAGATATGTTTTGAAAGTTAAAGCGTGTTTTCTACGTAGTTTTGACTTAAAATATTTTCCCCAAAACATGCGGATTTAAGTTAGAATTTAAAGTAAGTAAGACTATCTCCTTCGCAGTCAGCTGCTTTAATGCGCCGTTAAGGAAATTTGACTATAAAACGGAAGTACGGCAAGCTTGTCAGCGGCTGGCTAATGTTATTAGCCGCGCTAGCCAAGTGGCTGCAGTGCTGAAGCTACAGTAACAGCTCAAATGAAAGCTGGAACATTAGAGAGTTAGCCGAAGCCTGAATGATGGGGTAACTGCTTATCTTTAACTTACGAATGTCCACTGTGTCTGACTCGCAGGTGGCTCCCACACTTCGGCCAGGTGGAATAGTTGGCACGGCTCGCACCAAAACAACCAGTGGTCCAAGTGAGTGTGGACATAGCTAGACCGCCTTAACCTGCCTTACCCATTCACCCCAGTACAGTCCTGCACACATACATACTCAGATTAGCACAGTCATTTCAAAATTCATCAAAGAAGGCAGATAAGTCTGCAAAAATGTCCACCTACACCATATGTCCAAAGGTTACATTGCACCTACACAGCGTGTATAATCTCCATAGAAAAGCACAGGCACTCTGGAGCTAAACAGGTGCCTGAATTCACCATGCCCAATGCCAAGCGTCAGTTAGAGGGGTATAATGCCCCTCAGCATTGGGCTCTGGAGCAGTGGAACTGTGTTTTCTGGAGTGATGGATTAAATTCAATACCTTTGGGTTGAGGTGGAGTCATATTTGTGGTCCAGAACTAATCATCCAACGTCAGTACTGGACCTTACTAATGCTCCTGTGGTTGAATGCTGTCAAACCCTCACAGCAATGTTTTAATATCTAGTGTAAAGCCTTCCCAGAAGAGTATAAAGAAAGGGGAAGCCTTTATTAATACCCTCTATTTCAGAAGAAACATAAGATGACACATGCATCTATCTATCTATCTATCTATCTATCTATCTATCTATCTATCTGCCTGTCTGTCTCTCTAGTTATCTACCTGTCTATCTGTTTGCCTGTCTGTCTGTCTACCTGCGTATCTGTCTCCTTCGACAGGGCTGGAAAACACAAGCCTCCTTCCCTAAATCAGTTTATCATCCTAGGCATCCAGGAACAAATTTGAAAGGGCAGTGAAGACCTTTCAGTAACATTAAATTCAACAAAATCAGGCAGTGTTGAATGGCTTTACATTTCTTCACTGCTAGTCTGGACTGCTTCTGTGTGACTTGCATTTCTTTGTCATAGCGTGTTTGATGAGTTGCAGTCATGGCAACAGAAGAAAAGAAAGCAGACACTGAGGCAAATAAAACACATTCATCATCAGCACCAGCCACAAAGGTACAAACTAGAGACCTCAATCTCATAAACATACACATGACAAGCTAGTTGTCTTTTTTACCCATGTATCTAAAAATGTAATTTTTTTTCTAGTCTGCTCCAGTCAAGCCAAACTATGCCCTGAAGTTCACACTCGCAGGACACACAAAAGCGATATCGTCTGTTAAATTCAGCCCGAATGGTGAATGGCTGGCCAGCTCATGTAAGAGTGACTTCTTTTGTTATGTATAGACAGATTTTTTTTGTCAAGTAAATCTATATGATTACAGCATTAACGTGCTATTTTTCAGCGGCTGACAAACTAATCAAAATATGGGGAGCGTATGATGGAAAATTTGAAAAGTCTCTCTCTGGACATAAACTTGTAAGTATTTTCTGTCATTGTGGTTTTAAGTGTTGTTTCATTTTGTTTAATTTTATCTAATGCTCATATTGTAAAGCAAGCAATGCTGATCTCTACTAGGGTCCCTAGATGCCTTGTTGACAGTGGTTTCCACAAAAGATAATACGAAAGACCCAAAGACGAGACTGAGGGATTTCAATACATTGTATACATTTTACATTTTCCGATACGTACTGAAATAGGTGAACCTTTCGTCTGGGAGTATCCTATAGGTGATCATGAATGGGGAGCGGCTTATGTAACGCAGGAATCCACACTTAAATGCCTGTTTTTTGTTTAAAGAAATTTTAGGGGTTGTGATTTTTGTTTGATATTATTTACAGGGTGATGTGGCAAACGCTGAAAAAAGTTCTGTTGGAGAACTTTTATTTGTCTGAACCAAACCAATCTGTGTAGTATATAATTAGAGCTCTGCAGAATAATTTAGAATATTGTGAACATACAAAATATCAAAAATCATATAAATGTCTTATTGAAAATCGAATTGAATTGAAAATCGTACTGAACCTTAAAATATTTGCATCGTTATGCCTCTAGTGTGCTTGCATGTAAGCTTTTTGCATGATGCACATTAAGTGTATTAATTGTATTAATATTAACATATGAACACAACGTACAAATTCAGGTACTTCTTGTTTTTTGCAGTATCAAAAAATGTATTATTGAGACACCACTGCATTGTATCGAATCAAGCTTTTTCATAACCGTAAACAGCAACACTAAACAATCCACCACATTAGTGCTTCTTGGAGTAATAACTGCTTTATATTCTTGATATCTATGTGATATGATTCGTATACATAGATATCAAGAATATAAACATATTTTTCATGCGATTCACAATATAGACAGACACAGTGACCCACAACAGGACCAGAGAGGTCTACCTCCGTTAGAAAACTGTCCCTGGTTGGTCAGAAACTTGCCCTCTTTGATCCAAGAGTTGTTACATGAACTGCAATCTGAGGTTAGGCAAACAGCATAAGTTGTCATGGTGATGTCACCAGCAAAAAGTGATCACTGAGGTTAAATATAAGTTTAAAGTTAGCTGGCTAAGCAGGAATTCCTGCTTTGTGAGACAAGCCCTTGATATTCCTGTGTGTGTTTTAACTGGGATCCCTTTTCTCTCATTAGGGTGTATCAGATGTGGCATGGTCCTCAGACTCAAATCTTTTGGTGTCTGCATCAGATGACAAGACTCTGAAAATTTGGGACATGGGTACAGTAAGTGGCAGTGTTAACAGCATCCCTGGTTTGATGTCCTTACTGTTAATATCACACGGTTTTATTGGTGGTATAAATAGAAACGCTCAGAGTATTTGAAGGAGTACATTTAAATTAGTCAACAAGTACTGCCCATCTTGGTCTCTCATTGTATCCACTGTTGGATTGTAACATATCACGTTTAATCTGACTCATGTTTAATTGTTTAATGTAAGGGTAAATGCCTGAAGACATTGAAAGGCCACAGCAACTATGTATTTTGTTGTAACTTCAACCCTCAATCAAACCTGGTGGTGTCTGGATCGGTGAGTACTGACTGATATGCCTTGAGTATTTCAGGTCATTCATTTGCATTTGTGCAAATTAAATTGAGATGTGACTTTATGTGTCCTGTCAGTTTGACGAGAGTGTGCGGATTTGGGATGTCAAGACTGGCAAGTGTCTAAAGACCCTCCCAGCCCATTCTGACCCTGTCTCTGCTGTAAGTAGCAGGCAAAGTAAGTTTCCTACTGAAATAATCACACTCTTATGATAAAATCAGTCAACATTTCTGTGTTGTGTTCTCAAGGTTCACTTTAATAGAGATGGCTCTCTGATAGTGTCCAGTAGCTACGATGGCCTCTGGTAAGTTTTCCCCATTCACTAGATGGAACAATGATCTTAATTTTCTTTGTTAATAGTTTCATGCTTCATGTGAACTTTCACATTTGGTTTTCAGCCGAATGTGGGACTCTGCTTCAGGACAGTGTCTGAAGACTCTTATTGGTATGTGATTGCACTCCATGAACTTTGCTAACAATTGCACAGTGCTAACAATGTTAAGAATTTTTGCCTTGCACAACATTCCAACAAGAAGGGCTTGTGAGATACCTTTAAAGGGTCCATTTTAGCACCCCTGAGGTCCACTCATGACATTTTTGTGGGTTTATTTACCCAAAAGTCATAATTTAGTTTCATTCCATTTCCATTAAAAATGTTGTTTTTGTTACTCTGCCTTCAAGACATATATGATATATGACTGTCTTATTGGTTGTCTTCATTCAAAAAGCAGTCTGGGCTGAAACATTCCTTATAATTTCAACATGAATAGGTTGGCTATACACCACAAGTCAAAGGTTTGTAACTAACAATGCATTTTGTGTGATGTTAAAAAAAATCTAAAAGAATTTAAAATAGATACTAGTTCTTATTATCTAAAATAGATATTAGAAGTTAGTTCCATATGTGTTATTACGTAGTTTTAATGTATTTATTATTCAAAAATGCAGAAAATAGTAAAAATAAGGAGCGCTGTTTTATGAGTAAGTGTGTTCAAACTTTTGACTGGTAGTGTATGCTAATGCATTGGTTTTGTGACGTCACAACTTAGGTTCCATATACGGGCTGTGTGGGCCAAGAGGTGAATCATATGTTTTGAAACATGTTTGAAAACTAAAAGTGAGAGAAAATCGGTGTACCATGGTAAACACAATACCCTTACTTGCTATAGATCTCTGTCAGATATTACAAAAAGACTAGTATTGTTTTGTATGTCAGTTGATCTTGATCTCTGTCACTACGTGAATTGTGTGGATAGAACTAATGCTGACTTTTCCTGGGCTTCAGATGATGACAACCCCCCTGTCTCATTTGTGAAGTTTTCACCCAATGGCAAATACATACTGGCTGCAACCCTGGATAAGTAAGTGACTGCCTTCCCTCAAACCGTGTGTCTGTGCTTGATGGCCTCTGCTATGTGTTGGACCACATCATAGTTACAGTACAGTACAGTAGCATACACAAACATTCCCTTTCTGTTTTTCCATATACTCTCTGTGTCTTGCAGTACTTTGAAGCTTTGGGACTACAGTAAAGGAAAGGTAGGTTGTTTTTGTTGTGTTGATATGCTTATAACCAATCAGCAATTCCTGCAGTCATGAAACAGTTATCTGACTCAGATTACCCGTATATTGATTTATGTCCCCCATCACCTGTATTTGCAGTGTCTGAAGACTTACACTGGACATAAGAATGAGAAGTACTGTGTGTTTGCCAATTTCTCTGTCACTGGAGGCAAGGTATATAGCGTTCTAAAAGCCTTTATTACATTGATTGTAGCTTTTGGACATAGTCAAAGTTAGTCCCACTTTAAGTAACTTGAGCCTTCTTACTTCCATCCAGTGGATTGTCTCAGGCTCTGAAGACCACATGGTGTACATCTGGAACCTGCAGACCAAAGAAATAGTGCAGAAATTACAGGGGCATGCAGGTATGATACCCAGCACTGCTCATATAATTTGTATTACTGGCAGGATATCTTACACTCATAAAAGTAAATGTGCCAAGAAGGGTTATTTGGAGTGATTCTTTGGAGTGGTGCCATAGAAGTAACGCTTCTAGTTCCTTAAACAGCTTTTCAATGGATAAACCATTGTTGGAAATGAGATGTGCGTGTGAATGTGAGTGTAAAGGTCCTTTTTAAAGGGCTCATATCATACAAAACCCCTTTTAAATTAAACTTTGATGTAGTATATAAATAGGGTTAAAGTTTCAAAACATACTAGTCCATATATTGAAACCGAGCTGCAAAAACGGCCTGTTTTGAATTCAGATTTTTTGTGATATCTTGAAAACCAACAACAGCAGTTTAGCTCCGCCCATTCACACTGAATTTATAAGGAATATTTCAGCCAAGAACTGCACAATACAGGGCAACAAATTAGAACAGAGGTCATTTACATATATCAGTCTTAAAGACACAGTAAGAAAAACAAAAAAAAAAAAGCAAGTTTTTGCTACATAAACCTACACAAATGTCATAAGTGTGGGATATAGGCTCTTGATAAAAAATTTATATAGCCTTCACATAATGTATAGCGTCTATACTAGTTAAAGGTTTTTCCAAGAACATTACATCCAAGCTATTAGAACCATTTAAGGACTCCTTTTTTAATTATAAGATTACATACAAGGTTGTGGTCAAACCACTGCAAACTGCTTTGTGCTTTTTTGCTAGATGTGGTGATTGCAACAGCATGTCATCCTACAGAGAACATCATAGCATCCGCGGCTCTGGAGAACGACAAGACCATCAAACTGTGGAAGAGTGATTGCTAAAGTAGAGGACTTTTTAGAGACGTCTGGCGTCTGAGGAGTTATGAGGAATGTATGCTGTGTTCTTGATGATGGTTTGGACAGTTTAATAGTGCAGGTTAACTGAGAGAGGGGCTGGTCCAGTCTGCTCAGAAAATTGACAATCTCCCAATGCACTGTTCCCTCTTTATGAGGTATTTTTATATGGTAAATCATCTTTACAGTCTTTTATGAGTTCTTTGAGGATACATTGTTGGTATCTATTGAGTGAGGTATCAAATCAGGGCCCAGGAGCATTCTACTACTGAGATGATCTTAATATGAACTGGCTTTAGTGCTTTATAATGTGGTTTCTGCAAAAAAGTGAAAAGAAGGAAATGTGGACGATTGTAACCTTTGTTTTTCATGGTTTGCAATTTTGTTGGAACGGGTTCAACATGAGGGACTGGATATTCATTTATGAATAGCTAACTGTGTAGTTAATTAACTGTTCTGTTAATAGGCTCCTGTAGGGTGAAGTGTGCCCGGCCTCTACTTTTAGGCCTTGTGCTTGTAAGCCTTATGCACTTACCAAATAGAATGTGGAAACTAACTAGCATCTTAGTTTAATTCACTCACATGCTGATATCAGATATCAGCATTGCAATAAGACCATAGTACTTTCAGTTTTCATGCATTTGTCAGTTTTTTTTTTTTACTTGTTTTCTTTTACACACCCTTTGAGTTTCAGCCTATTTCAGTATTCTGCCTACCATATCTAGCTTGTGTGAGAAGCTATGAAACAGGTGTACTTTGAAATGTATTTATGTGAGGTTTCCTTTTATTTTGTCTGTACTGATTTAATATAGAGAAATCGAATGACTCGTTCTATAAAACTCTAATGAAGACAACACAATGTTGTTCAGAATTGAGAATTTAATAGTCCCTTTAACAATAAACATTGTATGATAGGGCAACACACAATTCACTCTCATTTTTACTAATATATAAAAAAAATGTTTTCTGCAATTTCCAGGTGAAGCCCAATGAAACAAAAGTAGCAAAATAACTGGGGAAAAGTTTAAATGGCAGCCTCTCCCTTAGTCCTGTTCTTAGGGCATGCTCCCCTCCATTTTAAAAATCAACATTTACACCAATAATGTATGCAACATTCAATAGAATTAAAGACAACCGCATTGGATTAAAAGGTTAAAATTACAATTATACAAAAATAGATTTTTTCTTTAAATCCATCTCTAATTATTTGCTCACACGATGACCTGGTTTTCTTGGGGAAAGCCCACCAAAAGCAGAGTAGCTGCAGCAGGATTCTATCAGCTGAGACAGCTGGTCTAGTAAACCCTGTTTGACTTGCCCACCAGGTTTTCTTCCACTACCTAGGACTTTTCCAGAGTCAGACCTTTAGACTATTGGGCTGGAATTGCAAGAAGAGGTATTATGTTCTTCTTACCTGTTTGCTGGTGTGGCGTAGTTTAAAGCCTAATGACTGTTTTAAAAATGATTTGTTACTGAGGGGCAAGATTTTAGGCAAAAAGAAAATCAGGTAAAAACATTTAACCCTGGGCAACATATGAGAGAATTCTTTTATTAATAACTCTTTTTGTTTTCTTGTGTGAAGAAAAAGTATGTATACAATTTATCTGTATATGAGCCTGAGTGGTAGCCTCTACTTTCACTGAGTTAAATACTGTGACTGTTGAGACTGGTGATTGATCAGAGACTCTGAACTTCAATATCATCACTTTTTGTCATAAGAACACTGTTTTAGTTTAGCGTGGCTCAGCCTGCAATTTTAGAGGTTCCTTTGCAGAGTGGCTTCCGGCAAACATAACCACAATTTGCTGTTCTTTTGTTCCTTATCGTACGCAAAAGTCATTGCACAACAGGACTAATATTACTACATACAAAATTTGTTTCAGCACGTTTTATACTGTTGCATCAACCTGAGGTCTGAAAATGGTCATTTTGCAATGCTGGCCAAATCTGACAAACAATGCTTTTTTTTTTTTTTACATTTTCAAATTCAAAATGATTCACTGTTAAAAGTTTAGACAATGATTCACTGTCTAAGCTGTACCGTCAGCTCTTAAACACTAGGGGGCATACTAAGCTCTTCCCAAACCTTACATATCCCTGAGGCCAGACCATCATCTGGATTCTCTTAACTAATTGCATATTTTCATAGCACAAACGCTGCCTTGCTGGGAATCATCAGATGATATATAAACGCATTGAAAATCTTTGGAAATGCTTGATACATAATTGAGATGAATTATAGAGGCAAAACAATAGAGAAATCGAATGTCTTCTAAATATTTTACACAACTCTAACAATGAATCATTCTTTTTTTCTATAATAAAACTTGAGTCAGGCCAAGAGCACACCTGCTTCTTATTCTTGCTAGACCATTCTGTCATTCATATACCTCTTCCAAAAAGAGAAGTACTTTCTACTACGGCCAAACAACACTGCAGTTTCCTCCTTGTGGGAACTGACTTCTGGCAGCCTTGCTAATGTCAACACTGTTTGACAAAAAAAAAACAAAAAAAACAGTAAGTGCTGGAAATACAACCATTCATTTCTCTTGTATCTACCTCCAGAATTCCAGATACCAAATTAAAAATTTGCAAATTACATACGATTAACACTGAATATTACGCACATACAGTACAGTCCATAACCGAAAGGCAGTGATGAGGTGTCGGAAAAAGGAGTCACGTGGTACCGAGAGGCGTATAAGAGGTAATGCGAGAGTTTTGCATTCTTTCATCAAACCTACACACTCACGCTGACATGAATGTGTACAGAGATGAAACTGTTTGACCATGAAAAGAATGGAATGCAGAGGTAGGCCTCCATGAGGCAGAATAAACAAGAAATCATTAGACCTTAGGAGTTCTTATCTTCTAAAAATCCATAGAACCAACTTTGTGTAACCTCCCAAGCATGAACTCATGCATACCAGCGATGACTCTCTTAATCCGTCTTCCCTATAAATTATTCCATACTGAATGGTCTTTATGCAATTACTTTGATTTAGAAATTCCAAAGGTGAAGCACCAAAGCAGAACTGCTTGTAGTTCACATCTCTTGGACTGTTAGGTAAGATGTTCATCAGACTAGAAAAAGCAGGCTTCACTGAGATGCATCCTGTCATGGCCTCTCGAGGTGGTCTGTGCATAAGGCTGCACATGCGTCGTCATTCTTTAGAGAGATTCTGCGAAACATTGTCAAGGGTGATCTGAGGCACTCTTCCATTATGTCATTTGGTGTGGCGCCTCTAGCATTTCCATCAAAAAAGTGTCGATGGGTGTGTCTCCAATTAATTTGAAGAAAAACAGGTGCTCCAGACACTTCAGGCCGATGGATCGCAGAGCAGGCAGCCGAAGTAACAGTTTGGCAAATCTGCTCAAAGCATGAGAAAAAACACAGAATTTATTATAAACACAATTAAGAAAGCATTTATGATTGACTCTTCAGCACACTGGTTGAGACAGACTCCATAAAACTGAGGTAATGGGCTTTTTCAAACATCAGAATTAGATTACAAGGATTTTACATGTGGTGTTTCTCAAGGATTAATACTAAAACCACTAAACTGTCTAATTCACATGAATAGTATTCATTAAGTGTACCATACAGAACTACATATTCAATCCATTTCAGTTCTTTAATGTCTAATCCACAAGAATCTGCATATCGCTGCTGTTGAAACCTTGTATCTTCATTTCTGTAATTTTTCAGTTTTTGACAATTTTAAAATGCCTGTTACTCTTTACATTGTGTGAATTTCATGATGAATGAACCAAAAGAAATGCCCCAAAATTACTTAGAAAAAAGTCCACTGTCTTACATTAAAAGTAAAGGAGGTTTTTTCCTTCTCCTGTAAAGTTATCATTTGGAGATACAAGGTTTTGTTCTGACAGCAGCGATATACTTATATCTAAAAAAATGAATGGCAGAATTAGCATAAAGGTTTGCATAACGTATATATACCTTCCGGGTTGGTCTGGATATTTCTGTTTGCAGTAGGCCTCCAGTGAAGCATAGACTCTCTCTCTAAGTGCCTCCACCTCTGCCGGGTTAGACAGGCCCTTAGAGTCTAAATGTGCAGAGGGAAATATTTTATAACCTGTTAGAACATATTTCAGTACCAATTAAATCTAGACTGACATTAAAAGACTGAACCTTTTACAGTGTATGTTAGTTTTTACATCACATGACGACAAGAATTTTTATTCTGTATGTGGCACTACATTTCACTGTACATTTGAGGGCAGTGAAACTCTTGTGTTATGTTTGACAATGTTGGCTTGGATAAAACTGCTGGAGGCTACATATAAAGCTAATTTAGAACAGCACATTCGTTTTCCAATACTGAATAAACACTGAGATCAAAGCCTTCAGCCTTTTCCAGGAATATTCCTCACATAACTTCCAAATGGATGCATAACTGGCCAGCTTAAGAAATATGGCTACAGTATTTCCATTTTACAGGGTGTGGCAGCTTAAAAGATTACCATTTACCTCATCATATTTACTTTTCTCAGACTATAAGCAGTAACTCTGCTTTGTTCTGTTGCTCTACATGTACAGTACCACATTCAAGACTCAGATTATGGGTGAAGCATTTCCAAATGCATTAAAGCAGAGCGTTTTTCACTTTAAGCAGGTAATTTCCAGTGGTTGTGTAAACGTATGCGTGTGGTGTGTGCGTTCCTGTACCTGGATTGAAAAGAACAATCGCTCGCAGGCATCCAAGCTCAGACTTGTCCATCTGCATGTCTCGCATCTTAGACACCAACTCTGTCAGCACTCTGTCCCAATAAAAAGCAACTGACTGTAACCCCTCAGCAGTAACCTTTCCAGTTGGACTGATATAGAAGTCACTTTTTTTTGCTGAACACATTCATTAGAGTACTGGGTAATGCCCAGTGCTGTATAACATCATGCTGTACAGGCAAGATGACTCATCAGTTCTCAATCATTTTTAGTTTCTATATTGACTCGGGACTCAAAACTATTAGGGCACATAAGACAGGTTTGCCTTTGCTGTAGTCACCCTCTATTTCATTAATGAGGACACTGACAGATTTCATATGGCGAGTGAAACATTATCGCACAGCTACATAAAACTTCCGTGCAGCTTAATGTAAAAGTGCAATTAATAATGTAAAAGCGAGTGCGACAGAGGACACTTCCACACTGAAACATCTTAGGGGGGTCATTTTCGAAAACACAGATGTATGATCTATAACATTACTTGCCCTCAATTCTTAGAGGATCATAAGTCCTCCATGACCTGAACTGATACTTATTTCTTCTTTCTAATTTCTAACTTCACCCCTAAATAAAGTCTGAAATATTTGTCAGGCTTGGGTTAAGTTCAAGTTTGAGCTTCTCTTTATTCATCTTCTATCTTTTTTGACCTGTATTTACACCTACTTTAGTTTATTCTTCCTCCATATTTTTACTAAATTAAGCTATTTTTAATCTCACATAATAAATTCAGTTGTGTTGTTAGCAAGGAGGACGACATGAGAACGGTGCATTAGCCTATGTCTAAATGCGCAGATGGAAAATATTTATAACCTGTTATACTTCAGTAACTATTAAATCTAGACTAATATTAAAGGACTGAACCTGTTACAGTTTTTATATATGATGACAGGAATTTTTATTCTGTATGTGGCACTAGATTTCACTGTACATTTGAGGGCAATGAAACATGTTATATTTGACAGTGTTTGCTCAAATGAAACTGCTGGAGGCTACATATACAGCTAATTTAGAACACATTCTTTTTCCAATACTGAATAAACACTCAGATCAAAACCTTCAGCCTATTCCTAGGAATATTCCTCACATAACATCTGAATGGATGCACAGTCGTGTTGTTAGCTAAGAGGTCGAGTGAGGTCCATGACTTCAAAATGAGAACAGTGCATTATGTAGTTTACACAAACTAAAACCTTAAGGTATGTTGTTCGAAGGAACTGCTGGCTGAATAAAATTGTTAAAGTGGAATTTAAACCTTTCAGTTTAGGGCCCAACCGATATGAACATTTTATGGCTGATACCAATTTTCAAGGGCTAAAAATTCCAATAACTGAATACAGGCCAATGTGATTTTACTTTACTGACTGATATGACTGTAAAATAAACAAAATGAAACTTTCAGATTGTTTGAATCCCAGGCGATGCCATGATTATAAAAAGCTGATAATTATTGGCATGTTATGTGGAAAATCTTTGCCCATGCCAATATCGGTTCAGCAATATTGGCCAATAAGCCGACATACTGGTCGGGGTCTATTTTGGACAGTTATAATTAGGCTATTCATTTTTTAAAATTTTGTCAACTGATGATCTGATGATGGCTGTCACTGCTGCTATGCTAAGACCTAACTTAGCAGGTTATCATTAGTGGTAGTAGGCTGGTTTGGACGGAATTTTGTTGGGTTCACGTGGGATTCAGATTCAAATCCTGGTGCTTTTGTTTGGGTCTGGACAGAAATTTGTCAGGCTGTATTCAAGGCTGGACAGGAATGTGAGGCCTGATTAAAACACTATCCGGAAACCCTGAAGGCCTGTATGTGGGCCACACTTCAGTTCCTCAATCTCATAACTATATAACTTAAAAATTTGTTTCATAGTAGTTGTGGCATAATTCATAATATATAAAGTTTTGAGGTTAATAATTGAAAAATAGGCCTAAGAAGGCTACAGACACTTACCTGTCAAAAATGGCGCCTACTCCTGCACTGTGTGCACTGTTTCTATGGACATGGAGGCCTGTTGCTAACAATATGCCATCTTTCACACTTATAGAGCGGTGCGAGAAAGAAGCTATGAGGAGCTCATTCCACCCTGTGAGAGATAAAGAAACAGATGGAGAGGCGGGTTTCAGCGGAGGCCTCAGAACAAACAAAAACACAAGAAAGGCAGCAAAAAAGAGCCCTTGAGGATGCGCTGAGCCGACCAGATGAGGTAACCAGATGAGGTAAATAATAACGCTTTTGTACGAAGACAGTAAACAAAAGAGCTTCAGTTATAGTGAGAACTGCTTTGTCTGCTCTCAATGTGTCAAACAGTGATCAGGCATAAATACACTCCAACAAGGCCAAAAACATTGTTTTTTTTTCCATTTCGAAATATTGTAGGGACAAATACTGGGATGGTGGGTGTCCTCAAGCCTCGGGCAACATTAGGCCTGTGGAATACACACAGCATGTGAACTAAGAGTACAAATAAACCACTTATTCTGAAGTGAACGTATCCTCCTCAACAGAAGAACTCATTCTGAGATACAGAATGAGATGGAAATCTCATATTCATCATACATAAAGCTACTGAAAACACAGTATTACAATAAAAGGATGCAGTCTAATACAGAATATAAAGCATGCGTAATTATCCAGTATTGCATCCAAAGAGCTCAGAGCACAAAGATTAGTCATATGAAATCTTTTTATACTGTTGTTGTCATAACAAAAAACTTGTGTCTACACAATAGTATCTTTATTGGCAAAAGAAAAACTGTTCTTTAATGTACATTGTCATTTTAGACCATTTTTATTGTTCCATTAATTAAGAAATATTCACACAGTGTAAAGGGAGGCTAGCATTTTCACAAAAACAAAAAAGGCCCCCCAAAAAGTAAGGTATGAGGTTTTGATATGACAGTGACAGCATGATTTCATCATAAGACCCTCAATGGCTTTTAATCTTGAAAATCTTAAAATTGAATGCATATGTTATTATATTTTTATCTGTACGATGAGACTCACATCTTCACATCACATCGTCTTTATCAGCGTCATCAATATTATCAGTAGTAACCATAAAAATGGAAAATATCAATAATAACAACACACACAGGAATCCTTGTACAAGATTTATCATAATCTATTACACTCAAATGTGTTACTCAAATTCAGTACACTGATGGTACTAAACCAATTACTTCAACAGCACTGACTGCTAAGAAATTTGGTGTCATTCAGTATGAAACTTCGGTTCCTAAATAGTCAATCTTATCAGCATCAGCATGGTTCCATCATCTAGACTGGTGATTTTTGTGTAGTTAACGATGATTTATCACGTTTATTGTCGTATTTCCTCAAATTTGACCCCAAATTTAAAAAAAGAGTGTATTTTGTTATAGTTATATGAGCGAACAAAATCAGCTTCATCAGAATTTATGTATTACTTTCAATAATTTAATAACAGTCGTTTCATTAAGTGAATGAAGGGTTTACAAGAACCTGAACATTAAAATTTCTATAGGTTGAACGCAATTTCCAATTCTCATCACTGGCATCCAGTGAGAGCAACTGTGGCTGCATGTTCCAACCAATAACTGTACAGCTATATGTGAACGTTCAAACAGCCGCAGTCAAATGACACATTTTGTTGGTTTTCTACATGAAAACAAGTTAACACATCCTCTACAGAGAACTAAAAAATAGCATTTCTCTGCAAATTTCAGGGCACAATTTCTACTTATTTGTGGAGTTTAACAGAGCTGTAACTAATGACTATTTTCATGGTAATTAGCTGGTCCATATGACTTAGATCAATCAATTAGTTGGAAAACAACAACCTGCAGATATTAGTCTGGCAGTAATGTTTCATTCAGTGAATTAATTCAAAATACAAGCATTATTCTTCCTATTCTCTTGCTCTCGCTCTCATTCATACGGCGTGTGGATTCTTGTTACAGTGGAGGCTCACAAGGGGAACTGTAGTTTTCCACTGCTGCTTTTGTTAGTTTGCAGCTCGTTGATTTATCCATGGATCTCCCATGAGCTCTGTCCAGTGTAGCCTGATGAAGGTGCTGAAGATATTGCTTAAAACCATTTTAAAGATGCAATTTGAACCAGAGGGCTGCAACTGTGGATTCTATCATAGCAACATACAATGTGCAAGATGCTGGGCTTCAGACAACACTACTATGAATAGCTTAAAGGGTAAAACCAGGAAAATTCTTCTTAACACATATGCATTAATGCACAATTCATTTTGATAGTCCTAATTTTACATATGTTTTCTTGCCTTTAAAAGAATGTACTGAAAAAGTACCGTTCAGGAATTAGTATAAAAGTCTGATGAAGAGCCATTAAACAGAAATATTTATATACTGTCGTACCTGCTCGTAAGAGGATGACTTGGTCGTCTAGAGGGAGTTCGGAAAAGTGTGGTATCCTTTTGGCCCACTCCACTAACGTAAAGAGCTGTTTATCTGCAGCTTGGCAGATGTTTGTGACAGGGTCGTTGGGCTGCAGGGCGAGAGGTAGAGAGAAAAAAAAGGAACTCTATATTAACAAAGAAACAAGGATGCTGCTCAACATTGGAGCACTGTGGAAAGACTCCAGTAGTGGTCATTTCTAAGCACGCAAGGACTGTGAATGAATTTTTGGATTGTTGTAGTGTACCTGACTGATGACAGGACAATATGACAGAAAGTATGTAAGGAAAAAAAAGTGCGGCTGGAAGCACACAGCCAGAAGAATACAAAACAGGTAGGGGGAAGGCAAAGCAACAGAGGATTTCATTTAAGTCCGATCCTATGACACACACACAGGAGGAATCTTCAAGGATCTGCACTTTAAATAAAGTTTCCTTTTGAAGATGAGACGTTAGATTTATCTCTCTGACAGCTTTCAAACTGGAGATGCCTGTTCTTTCAGTTTCTTTAGACAAAGGTATGGAACCGAAGTCTCTTTGTGTGTAGGCCTCTCTCTCTCTCTCTCTCTCTCTCTCTCTTTCTCACTCTGTCTGTCTCTCTCTCTCTCCACAAGCAATGAGACTGTTACCCGTTTTAATAATGTATCGTGGTATAAAATCTAATGAAAAATTTGAATATTTTAAAACATGTAATAATGATTTAAATAATTAAATAAACATGTACAATTATCATATGTTTTCAAAAGTCATGGTGAAAGTAAACTGTCTACTGTCTACTGACAGTCTCTCTGCAAATCATGCACCAGAACAAAGCATTTTTATGTTGTTATTATCTGAACAGTAGTGCTGTATTATACATTAGGAGTATTCTCACAACCAGTATTGTGTTTAAAGTGTGTGAGGCAGTAATAGCTACTGTCACAACAAACATATTTAATAACTAAACAAAAATAAAATGAAACAAAAATATGTATTTGTTCTTGTTTGCCTATATAAAAAAAATCAATAGATATTTATTTGTTTTTGTTGCCTTCGCAGAAAAAGCTGTCATGGTAATGCGAACTGTTTCTCAGCCTTTAAGTGCACAAAAATATGCTGCAGTTCTGATGTTAGTAGCTGACAGTATTTCATTTCTTTTTATTTTGCACAATAGTTAAATAGTGCTTTTGTAATTTTGTAATTTGCTATTTGCTTAAAGCAGAGATTGGTTATATTTCTGTTTGCATATCCAAAAAAAGTCTGTACTTGCATCACACCCAGTGAGAGGCACTCTATTTTAATAATTTATCGCTTCTCATATCAATATCATGATATCTGACAGCTTTATTTATTTATGTAAATATTGTACAGCCCTAATGAACTAGTAGTAAATAGTAGCAGCATTACGGAGCACTACTGATTTTTCCCCCATTAATTTTCTCCCCAATTTAGTCGTGCTTAATTCTACCTTTAACTAGGTTTCCCCACATCACATAATGCTACCAAGCTTGGGAGGGCGAACGCTTACTTCCGGACACTGGAGAGAAACCAATTATGCTCTATTGGACTCCTATTGGCTATGGCAACGCTGGGGGATCAAACTCATGATTTCCCGCTGATAAGACCAACTGTGCATGGGTACTCAAGTACTCAGTAAACTGTTCTAGGTACCAGTATTTGACTATTGGAATCAATATTCATGTATTAGTTATGCTGTATCACATAAAGTCATGCCAACTCAGGCAAACGTCAGTTTTGCTCATGCTTTAGATTAAGTAAATATATTATATATTCATAATTATATTTATAAAAACTCCTAATCACCTTCTCTCCAACAAAACCCCAAATAATCTCCCACAGCCACAGTTTTAAGGATCCCTCCTAAATCTAGACCTTCATCCTGGCACATTCTAATTCAAACTCAATGTAATATCAGAGACAATGCCTCAATCACATTTCCAGCAGGATTCTCAATAAGATTCCAATCATGCCGAGAGGAGCACAAACTCATTAGGGCTGTGTTTCATTCAGCAGGACCTTTTAAAGCCCAAGGACAAACCTGCGAACCTGTGCTGAAAGTAAATGGTTTTGAGAATCCCCAGAAGAGCAAACAAAGCATGTACAGCTTCCGCTCCAGTTGTGCTGAAAGGTCCAACTCAAGCATAGAGGCACAAACACTAGTCTACTAGTTACACAATAAAAAAATCCAACAGTTATTTTTTGTACATACTATTCCACAGCACAGAATTGGCTTAGACCACATTATGCTGCAATGTGTAAGTTTAACTGACTCCAGTGCTATACAAATGGAGGAAACCTGCTGATTTCCTATCTCCTGCTATGGGAATCCATGGTGGTCTTCAGTGCCAGAGTGCATTACTATGTAGCAGTGGATGGCCAGTCCACAGGGAGCCACTTCCTGTCAGAGTCCAGCAAGCACATTTCCATCCATTTAAAAATAGCCATTCCCATTTGCTCACGTTGCACCTCTACCTCCAGAAACCTGAATCTTAAGACATCTAGGAAACAAAAAATAAAATCTCCACTCAGCCTGCCAGACTCACTGTCCAGTCCACAGGATCTCAAGGAAAATTACATCTCACAATAAAACGTTCTAGTCAGTGTAGCTTGGAAAGAAATGCTGGCAGATCAAATGTTCTGAGTGAGTGTGAGTATGTGAGAGAGAGGGTATGATTTAGAGAGAAGGTGTGATAATGGACAGGGCTTATTTGTAAGGGATTTAACTGACCAAGTCGTGCTGGATAAAGTATCTGTATAATTTCCCCAAACTGACTGATTAAAACTTCATAGCCTGGATACAAACATCAGCTTTTACACAACAGGCACCACACTCAATAACAATAACAACACTCCACATGGCCATGTGGTATACTTTTTTACAGAGAGATTTACAGGTTCAGCCAATTACAGGTCATTTGTTCCACAATTATTACAATCAGAAAAGTTATGCACATCACTGTGCAAGCCCCCGAGAGGTGCAGATGTCGATGTCCACACTTTAAGAGAAAGTCTGTAATCCAGGAGCATACATTCAGAACGAAATTCAAATCCTTAACAACTTATTTTAGATGTTCAGAAACATATTCAAAGAGAGTAAAATGAAGAAGTATGTTATAAAATCATACCCTCTCTCTCTCACATATTCCAATACATTGTTTCCTCAAAATAGTAAGTTCATGACAAAACTCAAATTGTAGTTCATATAAAAAAACAATGGCTGCTTTGCAATAATAAGCAAAGTACTCTTAAAGGCAGAATTTACAATTTTGTTCCATGCATAAAGGAGATAAACAGGATTAAAGAGAGAGAGAGAGAGAGAGAGAGAGAGAGAGAGAGAGACAGACAGAGAGAGACAGAGAGAAGAAACACAGAGATACAGGCTTACAGAGCTGGCTGGAGCAGCAAGGCTGCCCTCCACATAGGTTTCAGTTTTAGGCTCCACTGCCAGCTCAGCTTCCAGAATCTTCTCCACTGGCATGTCCTCACTAGAGCAGCCGGCCAGCTCCAGCTCAGCCTCGCTCCTTTCTTTCGCCCGCTGCCGTTCCTCCTGGACAGCTGTTGATATATACATGCACACGCAAACATAATCACACATGAATTAAAATAGACAAGAGACTGAATTTATAATAATACAGTATGTATGTGTATATGTGTATGTGTAACTGCACACATAGAGATATGCACACACAATAACATGCACAGACACACACAGCTGCTTTCACTTTGCTCCTTGGCTACACATCTCCACAGCAACGGCACAGTCTGTTTTTAATGGAATAGAGTACATTATTCACAGACATGAGAGAGAGCGAGCGAGCTAAAACCAGCTCTGCCATAATTACACAAGTTCAGGAGGTCAACTCCAACTTCTCTGCATGGTTTGCAAGACTATATATTTTTTGGCCACAAGCCAATACAAATATGATTCAGTAAATTGAGTGGGCCTCCATTTTGCCAATAAAGCCTATGTAATGGACAATAAAACTGTCCTTTCTACTTTCAGTCAGTTGATTAGTTTGACAGTCATGCCCTGCAATGAAAGGGTCAGCAAAGTCCGTGTGCATGTGTGTGTCCGCTGTGGCCTGGACAAGGTGGAAAAGAATGCAGTCTACGTTCGTTTTTAGGAACATTTCACTCTCCTCTACTACTACTGTGTGTTAAAGGCTTTTTATGACTCCTCTTTTCCACTGTTTGTCTAACGTCTCCGTAGTGTGTCAGTTTTCATTCACGTTCAGAATTCCCGGGGTTTGAAATGAAGACCTCAGTGGCTTTTTGTTCTTTCTGTCCATCAAATCAAGTATCGACTTTTCTTTTACATTCCAGTGTGTGTCTATAAACAACACAAGCCTCATTCTGTAAAAGCACTATAAGAGTCTCTTTTCTCTTACTACCTCGGAATGGCTTGTTAAATGAGGTAGAATTCCATGAAGAGAACAAATAACTGTTATGATTATATTCATGCATGTTGTGATTACAACATGCTTAGCAATTTATCATTGCTGTCATATCAAAACCTTATGACACTTTTTTATGGTTTCTTTTTTTTAACATTATTTAAAAATGGCTGCTGCTCTTTTCATTGTGTGAATATGATGCAAAAATGACTTGGAAAAGAATCACATTACACATCACAACAATGATAAAAATATAAATAATGGTGCAGCCCTAATGCTTTGGTTCATCCAAACACCCACAGAAACCCACCTGGGACATGTGAGAGTAGGTCAGGATGTTGGAAGGCACTACTGCAAAGGCCAATTTTGCGATAACAATTAACAAGCGATATACTGTGCATCCTTACAATTGCAGTTCACACACACACACAGAGTATGTACCTTCTCTCTTCATTCCCATAGCCAAGCATTTCTGGTAGCGGCAGTACTGACAGCGGTTGCGCTGGCGCTTGTCTATCAGACAGTTCTTGTCGTCTCGGCAGGTGTACGTCAGGTCTTTCCTCACCGTCCGCTTGAAGAAGCCTTTGCAGCCTTCGCAGCTGTACACCCCATAGTGTTTACCTGCAAGAGCCATTCATCCTTTACCATTCTTCCCTACAGGAGCCACTTTTAATTGGCATTATGTGATCAATAATTCAGCACCACCAAAATCTCACAGCTGTTAGAGTCTCTGCCAGGTGATGTACTGCATTACAAGTCGTGGCAGGCTCCGAAAGTGGAAAAGTCTGACAGACTTTAAGTGGTACAGAAGAATAGCTTATGTTCTCCCAGCCTTTAAAGCGTACCTCAGCGAAAAATCTAAATTACACAATTTTCTTCTTACCCCAAATGTAGCCAAGACATGTCTGGATCTGAAGTTTGCTTTTTTAGTTTTGTGCTTAGGCTACAAGGATAATGTAGCTAATGGAAGCTTATGGCTGCTGGGTTCGCACTATGCAAACCATCACACATTCACCTCAAACTGCATCAATTTGTAAAGTAATCTTAAATGAACTTGCTTATGTGGTTTGTGACAATACTGGGCCAAAGTACAGACAGAATATCTGCATAATTAAATCTTTAAGATATAAACAAAGATATTCAAAGTGGCATAATATGAAATAGAGAAATATTCCTAATAACACTGATAGATACCAGACGTGTTTAAAACCTCTAAAGGCTGTCACAGCAAGTTATTATATTAAATGGTTATACAATGGCAAATACACTGCCTGAGACAATGTTTTATGATAGTTTTCAAAAGATTTTGGGCTAAGACATATTTTTAAAAATCCATTTATAGCGGAGCGGTACATACAGGGCATTGTAAGGCAAAATAATACCAGTCCACAGCATGCTATCCCAAAAGTCTGGGGGTCATCTAAATATTTTTGGCAAATGTGAGACGCACCTTTGTGTTCTTTTTGGTCAGCAGTGCTTAGTGCCTTGCAACTCTCCCATGGATGCCATTTTTGCCCAGTGTCTTTCTTATTGTGGAATCGTGTACACTGACCTTAACTGAGGCAAGTGAGGCCTGCAGCTCTTTAGATGTTTGTCTAGGTTCTTTTGTGACCTCCTGGATGAGTCGTTGCTCTTGGTGAAATTTTGTTAGGCCGGCAGCTCCTGGGAAGGTTCATCACGGTTCCTAGTTTTCTCTATTTGTGGATAATGGCTTTCACTGTGTTTCACTGGGTGTGGCTAGTGGAAGCGAACCCAATAGTCAACTGAATGTGGCTAACAGGTTGATTTAGTAGCTAAGGGGGCAATTACTTTTTCACATAGGGCCAGGTAGGGCTGAACAGCAGCGTTCCTTCAATAGATTAAATCATTTAAAAACAGCATTTTCTGTTTAACTGGGTTATCTTTGTTTAATATTAAAAGTTGGTTGATTATCTGAAACATTCAAGTGTGACAAATACTCAAAAATAGAAGTATCCAGGAAGAGGGCAAATCGTTTTTCACAGCACTGTAGGTATTATCTGTAAATACCAGTGTTTCACGTGAGCTATTTGTCAGTTATCATTCACTGGTTTTAATCTCCTATAATGTCCCTGTGTGTGAGAATGCGTGTGTCTCACCTGAGGAGCGGTCTCCGCAGATGGCGCAGATGTGTTTGGTGAGAGACAGTGAGGTGCCGGTTGGTTGGGCTGGAACCTTCATGACCCCATTCAGACCCAGAGGAGGTTTAATGTCTTCTGGGCTGCTGACAGAAGTCATGGGGGAGCTGAGCTGAAAGCGGACGAGAGAGAAGTAACTACAGTCACAAATCCACATGTCAAGTTCACACCTTTGTTTATGCAGTGAAGCCCAAGAGAGACCAAAAGCCCATTTACACTCTGGTAAAAAAAAAAAAATACACATTCTAATCCTCACACTAGCTCACATCTCTGTTTGCAGACTCAAAATCTTACACAAAACATTTCACATAGGGCTGACTGCAAATCATCCTTTACAGGAATAACTCTTCTCCTCCAGAAATGATCTGAAAACATGGGATAAAACCCTGTTATATTAACCCATTTATTCCCAAACTGCCAGATATTGTTCTGATCGGTCTAAAGTGATGAAATTTTGTATAGTTATACAAAAGTATGAAGATCTAATTACTCTAACTATGAGTAGTTAGATCTAGTAGTTAACTACTAACTTTAGTCACAACACAATCAAATGTGATAAAAAAGGTTTAATTATGTCTTCAAATTTGTCTTAGGCGAGCTAAGAAAACATCTTTCAGATATAGACAATAAAAGTTAACATTTTCACATCTGACATTTAGTTACCGTTTCACCATTCAAGGTTCTGTTATGCAAACAATACGTAATGATAAAGGATCATGACTCCCAGGAGCAGCCTCTAATTTCCATAATGTAAATATATGTCCCACATGAAGCTAGCTGTTGAAAGCAGCTGTAGCCTCCACACTCCATTCATCTCCAACTGCCCATAGGCTCAGTCATCCATTCACAGCAATGACAGATGAAGCTATGTGAGCACCTGGGAAGGGATGTCCCACTCACCCACAGGAAACGCTCAGGCGAAAAAAGACATTGCTTTCTGTTTACCTTTCACAAACCTCCAAACACACACATATCAACAAGACCAAAACAACGAATCAGATTCCATTTAAATGTTTATTGCTCATTTGTTTTTAATATGTATGTTTTGAAGAAAAATTAATCCTGATTCTGTCGAAATACATGCAAAAATAAATATAAGATGGTTTCATTCACATCCTTACTCATTCACTCCCTCACTCACATCTCTCACTCTCCCTCACTCATCACTCACTCACTCTCCCTCACTCATTCACTCCCTCACTCACATCTCTCACTCACATCACTCCCTCTCCCTAACTCACATCACTCATTCACTCACTCGACTGACTTCCTCACTCGTGCACTCCCTCACTCATTCACCCTCTCGCTCACTCCCCCACTTCACATACTCACTCATTCACTCACTCCCCTACTTCACATGCTCACTTATTCAGTCATTAACTCACTCACTCACTCATTCACTCACTCCCCCACTTCACGTGCTCAGTTACTCAGGTATTCACTCGCTCACTCACTTAATCACTCTCACTCATTCACACTGACTCCCTCACTCATTTACACTCTCACTCACTCCGCCCACTTCACTTGCTCAGTTACTCATTCAGTCATTCACTTGCTCACTCATTCATTCACTTGCTCAATCACTCATTCCCTAAAGCTTTTCAATCATCCCTCAATCTTTGACCCAGCCCATCACTCATTCACTCACTCCCTCATTCACTCCCCCCACTTCACATACTCACTCCCTCATTCACTCTCTCTCCCTCCTTCACTAATTTGCTCATTCACTCCCTCACCATCTCACTTGCTTGGTTATTCACTCCCTCACTCCCTACCTCACTCATTCACTCTCTCTCTTTCTCTCTCAGGCCCCTTCCTCGCCCCTCACTCATTCACTCACTTCATCACTCAGTCACTCCCTCATTTGCTTAGCTCCCTCCCTCCCTCGCGCACTCACTCTGTGGTAGGGACTGTCAACACCCATTTAAGCTCTAATGTATATAGGGCTACATACCCACACGGAGACCACAGTGTGTGTTTTGTTATTACAAGACAAGCCTGAGTTGTTTTTTCCCCCTGCAGGTACTCAGAGACTGAACAAACACTAAACATGAAAATCTCTTTGATGTGAGTTTAATATGCCTCACTTCCAAGAATCAAAGAGGATCTGATACAGAGAAAAGAAATCAAACCCTTCACAACCTAGCTAAATGCAAATGCAGCCAAATGTACACTGTTGCAGTCTAGTGGCTACAGGATGCAGGAAAAGTGCTGAACAGAGATGAAAAAAGGAGCTACAGTAAAACGAATGTAAATCTGCTCCTCAAAGCAATGTGCTACACAGATATATTTACCTATTAGATGCATGAACCCATATAAACAAATACATACACATGCATGTGTTCATGTAAACAGCCCTACCTGTATGCCTGTCTGCTTCTATTCTAATGCAGACTTGGCTGTTTTCCATTTGCCCTGTCCTGTCTGCTGGTTACAATCCGCTGGGTACACACAAACACATACAGTAGACACACTGCATCCCTTCTGCCTATTTTGGGTAAACCTGCAACTCAATCTGCATTCGAGTACTCTCTGTGCCAACAGCAGGGACAGTTAGACTCCACATTTAGACAGAGTGGATGAGGAGATATTAAAGGGCCTTGACCTGAATTACTGTTTCCCTGAATGATGAACCTCTGCATCAACAATCAAAGCCCTGTTTCAGTACTGTTTTGAACAAGGCCTCACTAACTTTGAAAGTGTGTCTTACCTACGTTGGCCACTTACAGCACAACAAGAGGAAAAGATAGTGAAGAATGGATATTTAACAGCTACAGGGGTCACTGCCTCCCCAAACTAAATCTCCCTCCAATTAGCAGCAAGCTTGAGAAAAGCTAAGGTAGTGAAACTGAACAGCATAGCCTGAAAACAGCTGTAATAGTGAAACTACATTTAACAGTCTGAAAACAGTAAGGATTTTAACATGCAGGGGCAACCAGAAAAAACTGTTCTGGTTTCCGCATGTGCGTATTTCACTTGCTGGTACTTTCCCCCCCAAACGGCTGCAGTGTGGCATGTTGGTCTTCTATGGCAGACAAGAACACCAGTACAGCATAAGCTTTAGCTTAATTTAGCTGTATTTTTCATTATGATTTTATTTTCACTTGATAATGACACTTAGAATGCTTTTAAAACATATTTTTAGGGACATATACGTCTAATTTAATCAATTTTCCTGTTATGATCTGTTCACTATTAGTAGAGATGACAGTGTAAAGTGATGGTCTTCTTTGCTATCTGCTGTTTCTTTCGGTAGTAATTTATATGACTAAAGTCATCAAGGTTGACCACAAAGTACATGTTTGAAAACCCCAAGTGAAACTACATTTTAATTAATTTTGTTGATTTTCTAAGTGAAAATATGTTAACACATCCCCTACAGAGAACAAATTTAAATATGACATTTTCCTGCATTTTTGTGCATCATTTCAATTTATTTGTTGAGTTTAACATATTGGAAAAACATCAAACATACAATATAAGATGTGTCAAACTTTTGCACAGGCCACGTTTTATGTTAAAATAAAAAAAAGATGGAAAGAATATACAGAGGACCTCTATAAAAAAGATGTCAACTGCCAAGATACTTTTGTTGATGTTGGCTACGCAAAAGAACCTTTCATACTAGAAGATGACATTAGATCATTGCCAAAGAAGAAAGCCACAGGAATCAATAACATTGCAATCAAAAAAATCTAACATTTTCACAAAGATTCAGATAGGGACTGACCAAATAATGCCAATAAATCTGGAAAACAGCTTAATAGCCAGCAGACTGGAAGGGGTCAGTTTATTTCCCTTGTATCACATGCCAGTAAAATTATGTTCAAGATTTTCAATGCAGACTAGAGCCTTACTTTGAAGGAGGACTGCCAGATGTGCAAGCAGGATTCAGCATAGGCAGAGGAACAAGAGATATAACTGTGGATGTACGCTGGATTATTGAAAAAGCCAAGGAGCTCAAAAAGGAAGGAACATGTGTTTCATTGACAAGAGCAAAGCCTTCGACTGTATCAACAACATACAATTATATCCTAAGAAAAACTGGAATCTCAGAGCATCTCTTACTCTAATGAGGAATCTCTACACTGATCAACAAGCCATGAACAGTTCCACATCGGAAAAAAAATTTAAACATAAAAAAAATTGTCAAGTCTGCATACTATCACCATACCTGTTCAACCTGTACACAGAACATACAATGAGAGAAACAGGACTGCAGGAAGATAATCGAGTATTCAGGATTGGTGAAAAAAACCTTTGATATACGGATGATACAACTCTCTGAAGACCTGAAGGCCTTTATAAAGAATGTTGAGAAAAGAATGTGAAAAGATGTGAGGTCAGTATGAAGGTTAGGATGACAGTAAAGACTGCTAACTTCACCACTGATGGAGAAGATGTGGAAATGGTGGACAGCTTTTGCCTGCACAGATCAATTATTAACAACAGAGGATCCAGCATCAAGAAACACGACACAGATTGGCATTCGGCAGAACAAAGCTGAAGGAGCTTAAAAAGATGCAAATGCGATGCTTCGTCCATATAAACAAAGATCAGAACTGTCCAGGCTATGGTCTTCTCTGCTTCTTTACTGGATGTGAAAGCTGGACAATAAACAAGCAAGACAGGAAAAATATAGATACTTTTGGTGAAGACTTCTGAGAGTACCTTGGAAAGAAAACAAACGGATCCTCGAACAAACCAAGCCTCACCTCAGATAAACAAAATAAATCTAGTTTTGGACATATTCTGACCATTATGCTTGTAAGAGTGTAAGGTAAAAGAGAAAGAGGACGACCAGCATCAAGACAGATGGATACAATCAAAGGAATCATAAACCAGTCATTCAGAAACATGAAGACCCAAACAGATGACAGGATATTCTGGAGAAACACTATCCATATGGTCCCAATACTTTACATACATAAAATAAACAGTAATTCTACATTAAAATATGCAGCAATTTGTTCTCTGTAGGGGATGCTCAAATCTGCCTAAATGTTACGCAAGCTACTTAGTCAACATAAATAATGAACTTGTATCAACAGTCATGTATAGCAATGGAGCTCTTTGCTACCTAAAGCCCAGGTTGAACACAGCAAACTGAAACTATAAACAGCTTTGTCCACCATTTTTCTGGGGATTTAAAAAGTAATTGCATCAGATAACAATGATTTCTGCTGCTGCAGTCAACAGTTCTGCTGACTGGATCCCTCGTCCCTCCAAGCGCTAATCTAATAAACCTCACTTGAGCTGAAATAGTAACGGAACGGCCCTTAAGATGGCGTCGGGAATTGCCCCAAAGGGAAATGTCGAGGCCAAGCCGACGAGAGCATGTTAAAAAGAGTACTGAAACAGTGAAACAGCCTTCTGCTATTGTGCACCGAAGATTTGAGACTCTTTAGACTTTAATAAACGTGAAGCATCAACAGTTTTTTAATATCATTCTTTTGTTACATTTTTATTATCCTTTATTTAATTTATTTTATTGTTTTAATTATGTTGATTTGCTTTTCTGTTTTAATGCTTTTTTGACTTTTTCCTGTTACCCTTTAACTTTTAAGCACACATTATGTTCTTTTAATTTTATGCTATTTTTTACTACACAATGTTTTTAATCTTGTTTTTCTGTTTTATTTAAATAACTACTGTAACACACTTTGAGCTGCATTTTTCATCGTCTTCTTCTTCTTCTTAAAAGCAAACGTTAGAAACTTTCTAATAGCGCACATCACCCAAAATGAAAATGCACCCAAATGAAAGTGTAGATGACAAGAGTTTTTCAAATAAGCTGATTTATATGCAAAATTACATCTCATCCATGGACATTGCTTTAAAGAACAGTTATGCAATTCATCAGCCGTCACTTCTCTTATGAAAAAATAAGCACATATAGTCCCTTTTCTCGCAGGCCTTCAACACATCATGCATTTTATATGAAGAGACGGTCATGTTGCAGTGGCAGCTCTTGGAGAAAACAGTCCTTGAGAAAGCCTCGCACATGTCTTCTTGGGAAAAAATCTGTGCAGTTATTGCGTCTATGAAGCAGAGCCATGTGAAAACACCAGGGTGTCTGTGACGGCCAAATGAAAACAGGTACCGTTTCCAGCTACTGGACTGAGGCGGTGATGAACAGAAGTGAAGCCTTTGAAGTTTTTATATTCATGTCTAAAACAGCACCCCTTTAACGAACCCAAAGGAACTATTATCTTAGGAACAGTAGATCTGAACATGGAAAGGCTTTCTCTGGGATCGCAGCCACCGACAGCTGGACTTATTTCAACAGGCTTAAATGTGTATTACATTTACACCCTCACGTCATGCCCACTGTTTCATATGAACCTCTATTTGAAGCGGTGATGTCCGTCCATTTGGAGTGGATTACGCTCTATAGTTAAACATATAAGACATAACACACTACTCTTCTATATAACATGCTACACTCAAAGTCCTTAAACATTGTCTGTATATCGCAATATGGTCCAAATATTTCTTTAAAAGTTGTATAAACATTTATCTTGTCCCACAGATGAACAATGAAGTCTGAGCAGATGCACTGGACGTTTGGCCTTATATGCTTAATGGAAGCCTCACTGCCCAAATCTTCACAACTGCTCAGATAAAGCAGAGTGAAACACAGTGCTAATATTTTCTTACACTAAAAGCTGTCTCAAACTATCTGCATCATAGTTTGTGTTTAATACTGTCCCTTTAAAAGGATTCTTTACATTCCATACAACAAGAAAACCAAATGTGTTTCGGCTATCTACGGGACATAGAAGGTATGCACATCCACATGTGTGTTTTTGGACATTTCCTGGCCAAAAATGCCCTGAGTTTGTAGAAGACATACAGAAGAACTTGGCTAACCTATAGTGTAGCCTGATGGTGTTTGTTTCATTTTTAAGTTTATTTAAGTTTGTTTAATTTTCTGAGGTTAAGGTTAGGATTATGCTTAGATTTAGCAAATTCGTATTACAGAAACAAGCAATTACAAATATAACACATCCAGGACTTTACTACAACATAAAGGTCGTTACATTTTTAAAATTTCCAAATATAACAAAATTTTTCAGTATTTAGTGTGTCCACCCTTTTCCTTTATTACAGCTTCCATTCTTTTCAAGGGAATTGACTTCAGTGTTTCTTCAAAATCTGCAGGGATGTTTTTCTACACCTTCAAAGTTCAGTTTTAGAAGTTGGTTGTATTTTCTTCTTCTAGCGCAAATTTTCTTTCTGTATTTTTTGTCTGTTTCCATTTCTCTGTAACTGTTCTGCCCAGGCATCTGCTAGGTCACTGCTGAGTTCTTTCAGCCGACTACACATCCTTTCGGTCTGAAAGCATAGCACTGAGCTGTCTTCTAACAGTGGAAGGATGGACAGAAACATTTTCAGATCTGAAGAAATCATTTTTGGGACTCTAGTTTTGAAAACTCCTGGGTTTTGTCTTTTCTTTTTTAAATATAGAGACATATTATTATTACATATAGCGAATTACACACATACACACACATAGCTAACGCATATATAAAACACATATAGGACATATTATTATTACATATAGGTATTGTATATATGTAATACATATTTTATTTTCTGTAAAGTAATAGTTATTATTTTGTTTTAGTTACTTTTGCAGTGAGCATTATAGTTTTGATTTAGTTTTCATGTTTTTTTAAAATCTAACGTTTTTATTTTTATTACAGTTAACAAACATTTTCTCCCTTCTAGGTTTTGTTTTGTAGTAGTTTTAGTTTTAGCTATAATAACCCTGAGGAGTGGGTTTGGCTTGGTGGTAAAGAGTTCCATTCTGACACACACCACATTGGCTGAGCTGTAGACTTTTAGCAGGCCACTCATTTCCCATCAGCCCCAGCTCTACCCACTGGGCCTCTGCTAAGCTCTTTCAGCCGGCCAATAAAGCACACAGCGTCCATGTGGCACTCTAAGAACACAGGTGACACGGGCCGGTCACAGATCAAGCGCTCTGATGAGGCTAATGAGGATGAAAGAAGGGAGCTAGACCTTTCACCACAACCCCCCCTACCCTCTTTGCTAACTATTAAATCCCAAATGGCAATGGCTAGAGGTTTTAATATGCAGACCCCCTTGGATTTAGTGGCCAATTTAGAGCTCTCTGAAAGGAAACCTGTGTGGTGAGCTGAAAAAAAGCACCTCATTGTTTTCATGCCAGTTAGAATGTGTTGGAGCTTCAACGCACTAATGATTTAGTTTTCCCGTCATTGCTGGAAGGGCTCTGCTTAATGAGGGAAAATGTTTTCTGACTTAGTTCTTTACAATAACTGCGTAGCAAGCAGTACGTTATATTGTTAGCCTTGTTAGTTTGAAATACAATACAGTTCTAAAGCAGTGATAAAGCTTCTCACTTCACATCTGGTGCAAGTGTGCTGATCATATTTCATTTCATCTTGAGAGCATGTAAGTTGCGCAGACTGAGTCGTAATATGATACAAGTTCTACACAACTATATCACAAACAAAACAAAACACATACATTCAATCACTTAGCCAAGCAAAAGTATAATCTAAAACAAAAGTGGAATTGCAGACAAACAGAGGGAAAAAGAAACCTGAATGTTCCCGATTTGTGAGTGATTATGAAACAGTGCTTTACACAAAAACATGAGATACAATCCAGTGCCAACTGAACTCAAGTCATTTGGCTTGTTGTTCATATATTTCACACAATCTAACCAAGCTGTTAGACATGACTTATTCATTCTGCCACTGGCAAAACACCGCCGTACACAATGATTCTCTTATTCCGCCCAGCTGTATCTCAATTTGACTGGTTCATGATTACTATTTATATTAGCGGTCTATACGTTTGGCTACAGAACTATGCAAAGTAAACGTTTCCTGGAAACCAAACAAAGATCATAATAATAAAATGAAAAAAGTGGAATTACATCATTGGGAAACTTCAATATTTCTTGTACGATGTGTCATAAAAATCCTTCTCATATTCAAAGCCCTTTCTGACACTAATCCAATAACACCACAAAACTTTACAAGCACTAGCATTTTCCATGGTTGAAATATGACACAAGAGGCGAGCTTCCAGAGCTGTACATAATCAAAAAAAAGCACGTAGGCCTGAGAAAGCATCATGTGGGATTCTACAACCTCTGTTTGCAAACACCAGAATGAAACTCAGCACTGTTCAGTAGACTGTGTGGTGATAAAAACCTCCACAGCTTTGAAACACAGTGATGATAGTAAGATATCAGAGTAAGTTACATTTTGATCGCTCTCTCTGACAGGATGCGGTGCTCTTGGGACCCTGACAGAAGAGAGCTCACTGGTTGAAATATGAATGCAAAAGCTCATAACACTCAACAAGACTGTTGTGTTATAGAAACTAACTATGTATAACCTATTATATTACCTATGTATAACACTCAACAAGACTTGTGTTACAGAAATTATGGCCTTCAGTAAAAAAGAGCCAATTGCTTTGATGGTAAGCAGGAAGAATTCCCCCTTGTGGACATGCATAGTAGCCAGAACAACCCTAAAAATATTTTTTCATGAATTATTTGAGCCAAAAACCACTAATAATGTGTTCCTGTCATGTTTTACCAGTGATTTCAAATTTCCTTTTGAAAGGTTAGCATGACTATCAGTTTCAGGTTTATAGGTTTCTATTCATTCTAGAAGTCTTGTATGACTGGAAATAACTGCCTGAGGGCGTTGCTAAGATCGCTGCTGAATAAACGGATTTGCTGATAATTACAGACTTTTCTGAAAGGACAAGTATATGTGATCACCTGCACTTACACAGCAGAAATGCTCTGTATGTATCCTTTTCTGTCAATATGATGAAAATGATAAGACCTGATGACCTTTAAATTATTTGTTGACGTTTAAATAGATGGATTTGAAATTGTGAATACAGAATATAAATCAAAAGTAAATGAAATTCATTATGTAACTATGTAATTAATTACGTAATTACATGTAAAGAACTATGTACAGCAAAACAACAAACATCTAAAGGTTTAACAAGAAGTCACCCAATGCTTACCTGCGGACTAAGACTGGGTCCGAAGGCCATACTGGTGGATGAGGGTCCAGTCATGGAGGGGTGACCCATGGGGGAGCTGATGACAGGAAAGGGAGAAGCCAGACCATTAATGGGCGAGTGAAGCTGACCTGGGGTGGAGCCCATGGAGGACGGGGTGAGCAGGGACGGATGTAGAGGGTGGGGGCCCATGGCCCGATGACCCGTTGGAGAGCTGAGAGGAGAGGAGGAGAGCTGGCCTGATGAGTCTGAGGGAAAGAGAGAGAGAAACAAAGAGCGAGGGGAAAGGTTAAGAACAAGAAATGACTGTGATACAGCACAAAATTTCCAGGACAGTCTCCAGAGGTCTGGCATTCTTTTGACTATTTAGCAATTAAAGGAGTATTCCAATGTTTTTCAACCGAATCTGATCTATCAGCCACACCTATAGTTTTGCCATGCTTTACCCGCTGACTTGAAACTGCCATTGGGCAGATGTTGAATTCCGTTTTTTATTTTTTCTGTTTTTTAAATTAAGCTGTAAGTCTTGTAATTTGTCCTTTCAAGTATGGAATTAGTTTTCCAGATGGAAGTATTTGTGGTAATCCATTTTTGACATAGTAATGGATTTCCATAAATACTTCCCTCTGGAAAGGTTTTCACAGGCTCCACCCTGATCACAGTGAACTTCAGTGTAATGTCTGTATATTCAAATTTGTGTTATTTAGTCACATAATCACTTATTTCAATTGTTTATTTCACACAATTCAGCAACTGTGCAACAGTTTCAACTGTGAGTTAGAAGTGAAAAAGTTGTGAGATCCTTTCTAAGTACAGAGGAACATGGTGAAATTTCTGTCAATGCTTACTGATGGTACAATACATAATTCAGATGTGGCAAACACCCAGTACTGTGCAAAAGTCACAGAACTTTTCAAGACTTTTCAAAAATAAAAGATTAAAAATGGAAAATTTTACTAACAACCATACAAGACCACCAAAACTGTCACCACCACATAAACAGTACTTAAAGCTTTCATCTCGTAGAGATAAGGAGAAAATCTGAAAAAATCTGTGTGTTTCTGTCCATCCTTCCTCTGCAAGAAGACAACGCAATGCTATGGGTCTGAAAGGATGTGTAGCTGTCAAGAAGAACCTCATTAAGAACAGAAAATAGACAAAAAGAAAAAAAATCTGCAAATCAAACAATGAAGCTGTTGGTGTTCTCAGAACAATTGACTGACCACTCCAGAGCCCAGACTTCAACATCACTGAATGTACTTGTTTATTATTTATTATTTGGATCATGATAAGTAGAAAATGCAACCAACTTCTGAGTCTGAACTTTGGAGGTAAAAAAAACCTGAAAACTGAAAAACTGAAAGCAAGTGTTCTGACAAGAATGGAAGCTGTAATAAAGGCAACAAACTAAATACTGAAAAATGTGATAATATATTATGATTGAAGCTTCTGTCTGCTTTTTCTCTGAAGTTGAAAAATGAATAACTTGTACTTAATGGCTGTTTTGACTGGAAATTAAATATATGAAGAGTCATTTCTGACGTATCTTTGGGTAATGTGTTTGTCTGTGTGTGTGTGGGTTCTTCATACATGCACGGCTGTACTGTACAGAGCATGGTCCTATTGATTATTTGATATTTGATAACAGTGTGGACTTCAGACAGAACTTGATTTTTGTACTGCGTTATGAAACTATACAGCTTCTGTCGTTTTCAATGCAAATGCAGTACTTTGACAAATAAGCTGTTGATACTTTGAGAACAATATTTTCCAGTTACTCATTATAAGCAAGGAAAAGCAACTCAACATGGAAAATATGTAAACTCTCCTTATATGCCAACAAAGCAATGCACAGCACAAACTTTGCTTTCAAAGGGTGAGGTCAATGTCCAGAAGGTATAGCTTCGTCATGGCTTTCCCCTCCCCTTATTGTTATATTGTTTAAAAGAGGGGAGGAAAAACACTGGCATGGACTGCGTGATGTAGGATTGCAACATTCAGATGAGTGATATAAGTAGGTTGTGAAAACTAGATTAACCACAATAACATGCTAGATAATTAATCATATTCTTTGTGTGACTTATAATCAACTGTCACCCATGTTCTGTGACTGAACTCTACTCACATAACACCACAGTATATAAAGAGTCATCAGAAGTATGAAACACAGTTAGAGCCTGCACAGATTGATACTTTATACACTATTAATGTCAGGTTGGACGGCTGCCAGGTGCAGTTGCTGCCAACTGAAAAAGCCCCGCTGACTGTCTTCCAGGCTTTCTGTGAGAAAGCGTGTGAGTATGCAAAGTATGTTTGAGCACCACACCGAACACACACACACACGCACACACGTACACTACCACTACAGGCCAAAAGTATAGAAATGGTGATTATTTAGAGTTTCAAAAACACTTTTCAAACACTATTAAATCAGTTTACTAATAAGCAATGCAGCATGTTTACCTGCCGTCTAGTTTAATCAAAAAAGCAGACTTTCCAAAATATTTCTCTTGTTTGTAGTTCAGTTCAGAAAACCTTCAATAGCATGTGAAGGTGCGAATCAGATGGATATGATTAGAGCTTCTCCAGTAAAATGTAGCTGGAACAAAACAAATGAAGAAAATGCAATGTTTTTCATTAGTGATGTCTTGTTTCAATATACTGACTCAGTACTAGCACTGATACTGACCTTAAAGAGAACAGATATTGGACAGACATTAAAAATACACATCTGATACTGTTATTTTAGCTATGGTTGTTAGAAAACTGTAAGGAGTTTTTCTCACGGTAAGCAATAATCACACGTCTCACTTTCATTTTCAAAGCAACGCAGGTGGATTGGCAAAGAATATGACAAGTGAGTCTGACCCCAAGAATCCATTGCACAGGATCTCAATACAAGCACATGCCCGCCTGCCTCTGAGTTGAAAAGTTTCTGCTTTTGTAGACGCAATGCAAGGATCAGCATTGTCCAGCCAATGGAATCGCAGTCTTTGCTAAAGCTGGGCATACACTACATGACTTTCAAAACTGAATGCTTGTTGCTGGTGTTCCACAAGCAGCTCGTCTGTCTCTGCTCTCCGGTCCGCATGTGGTGTGCATGCACATATCTTTGTCTTTTTATTCCTATTTTTCATGTTTTCCGCAATTTCTATATTTGTGTTTAAAATAGCAGTATACACCGCAAGTGAGGTGAGAAACGTTTGTTGCTTGCCGGTTAAGAAGTCCTTAACAGTTCTTTTCTAATTTGCAGGGCCCAAATTCTACATACATATTCTTGTATTTTATTGTTTCTGCTGAGATCCCCTTATGACATTTATGGTTTATGTGCCAAAAACTTGATTAATTTTATCTTTAAGACTGACGTATGTAAATGATCATTTTTTTATGGTATACACCATTTAAAAAATGTACACAGCCTTAAAAAAACAGCACGAAAAATGCTGTACATCTCCACTGGTACATTAGCTTTTAATGTATACTTATAGATTTATGTTCTTTGTGTCTATGAGAAAGCAGTGCCTTAATCCCTTAATGCTGATGGCAAAAATGCCAGTTTCTATAATTTAATAATTGTCTCTAATAATAATGTTACTGCTCAGTGCTGCTGTTGTATTTTTTAATATCTATAGAATGTGATATATCCAAGCCATATATTCTGAACAATAAAATAAACACTTGGATAGAAATATTCAATAAACATATCAATAATAATTGTTACTCATTGAAACTGTGCTCTAAATGAGTTCTTATGTTCACTCATAGTGCACTGAAGCACATACAAAGCTTTGATTCTACATGCTGACATTTTCTGTTATGGCTAACACGGTCATGCTCGTGTCGTAACTCCTCAGAGGGCAGATTTTAATGAGTTAAGTGGACTGTCACCTAATTCTCTGAGTGTACTGCCAGCAAGACGTTTGGTTTGGATCGGTACTCAGTATCGGCAGAACTGCTGAGCTCAGATGTCCGTATCTGGAAGGAAAACGTTATATCCCTAATGTTTATTTTTATTACGTTTGTGTACTCTTCACATACTCTGAATGGCTGTGTACGGTGTGTATTGCCAACATCGACTCCTGAGCGTGAGGTCATAGCCCTTGTTGCTGTCAATGCTAGCCAAAGAGCGTGGAAAGTTTTTAAACTCTCAGACTAGCGCAGATCTCTGAGAGCCTGTCCTGGCATCGACCCATTACTTGGCCCTCAGCCAAGTCTTCACTTTGCTGCGGCATTACACATCTTGCGGGTACAGGTAGCTCCACACAAATGTGTGCATTCACACAGATGGTGAATATAAACAGTCACCGTCACGCAGCTCTGGAACTCTTCTATATCATAAACAAGACGTGGAGAAGAAGCTCATCAGCCTCCACACACTCTGTATGAAGAGAACAACCTTCATTCGGGGGCTACATTCCCTCTACTGATGCACTGACAAAAATAATGAATAGGGCTGGGCAATATTGTGAAATGTTATTGTTACCGTGATAAATTACACCATGATTCACTTCCTGACTATATCTTGGATACAGTCAGTACTTTTAGGCTAACAACTGCACAACACTCAACAAGTGCATGTATCATAAAAAGTCTGATTTAGACCAACTGACCTGTCCATGCTCTACCCACAAATGTGTTCTTACATACTAACAGTTGCAAGGATGGAGAAGCTTCACAGAACATTCACAAAAGTCTCATTCAACTAAACGGATTTAGATTAGAGTTTAACATTTAGTTTCCAGTTTAAAATACTACCTTACCAAGCTGGACTATGTTGTCATAGCGAACAGAATCTAGGCAAGCATGAGATTTTCTACCTGATAGCCTTAGCTTGATTATATGACCAAAAAACTAAATCTGATCTGTCCTAAGAGCAGCTACATTTCCAACAACTTTCTGCGCAAACTGCAAATGATAAAATTAATATGCATTTAAAAAATGTATGATTTTTGCTGTTTTCATCAAACTAACTTTTAGTGGTAACAATTGATTTTAAGGAACATATCTTGGATGTTTATTAAGATCTTGTTCTTTGTTCCATAAAGCCTGAATTAGACACTTCTAAATGTTTTTTTCACTATACATTAAGCTTATGAACTGTATTGTTATATAATTGGAGGTCTGTAAAAAATCTCTAAAATCTCTAAAAATGTAATTATTAGCTGTACTAATGCACAATAAACATTTTGTTAAGACCTTGTTATGCACAATTTTATGTGGTATTCATGCCTTCACTAATTAAACTAAT